TTCGGCGCATGTGGCGAATTTGATTTGATTTAATTCGATGTCTAGAATTTGAGCTAGGTTTGGGAAAAAAAATTGTCTGACGACCCTAATGCTAACAGCCCTTTAAAAAAAAAATCTGGTATAGCGGTTCTCGGTAACGGCCGAACAATCATGACGAGAGGCGGGGAGTGTGTTGTGTACCTCCAGTCAATTTGATTTGTGAATTTTCATCGACATTGGGTGTCATATTGGCTTAGATATGATGGTAGGGATATTTAAATGTAACATTGAGGTTCAACCAATGCATACCAGCTCGACTATAATATTTGGTTATTTTGGTGATACGCTTATTGATGACTCCCTATGTATGAATAACAGAAAACAGGGATATATCTGCGTGTAACACTGTAGATCTAATGGGTAGGTTATATTCTACCCACAATACATTTAATTGGATTTCTAAATATTGCTGTCAGTCATGACATTGTAAAGGATGTTTATTGTCATTACTAAATATATGCCATTTGACGCATTTATCCAAAGCACACGTCTGTCACGGGGCTAAGTGTATATGGCAGTGTCTACACAGGCCGCCCAATTCTGATATTTCTTTCACTAATTGGTCTTTTGACCAATCAGATCAGCTCTGAAAAGATATTTGATGTGAAAAAATCTGATGTGATTGGTCAAAAGACCAATTAGTGGAAAAAATATCAGAATTGGGCTGCCTGTGTAAACGCAGCCTAAGAAGCCCCATACACAGTAACTCATTAATTTATTAATGTCAATCTCAGTTAAATCATCACTTTACATATTTGTAATACTGTATGTTGTATTGTTAGTCCCACTAATAATCCAGACATTCATGCACTTAATTCCATGTTCATTTAGGTAACATCTCTTTCGTAGTCGGGAAAGACATCGCCCTAGGCCTACATGGCAGCGTTCACACAGGCAGCCCAATTCTGAAGGTTTTTTCCACTAATTGGTATTTTGACCAATCACATCAGATTTTAAAATATCAGAATTGGGCTGCCTTTGTAAACACAGCCATAAGTGCACCGACTAGACAAAATGTATCCGCTTGAACGCGCCGACTACATTGACATGTCGATCTGAGCCTTGCTGTAGGAAAACCAGACCAGTGTCTGACTTTCGGCTGTCGCAGATTCACCTCCCCGACTTCACTCCTCAACTTTCTTCTACAGTCTTATTGCTTTAGCCGTACCACTCAAACGCGCCCAATGGGTGCGTTCGAACAGCAAGGCTAACGCAGCCGACTGTAGATGAAAGTCGAGGAGTTACCAAGTTTTTCTTTATAATGTAGAAATAAACATGTTTCTAACCCCTGCATCACATACAAAAAAAATATTAAAAATCATACATTGTAGGATCAATTGGTGAGAGAGAGGTCTCAAATACCACATTCATTTATATATATCCACTGTAGCCTATACAGGAATCAAGGTTCCTGTTTCAGTCACATCTTTGGTCACATTTGTGTGGGTCAACCAAAAAACCCCTAATGATTGGTTGACAAATAGTGCTTCCCACTAGTCATGTGATGGCTGCATGGTGCTGTCAGTCAAAGCAACTGCAGCAAGTTGAAGGCGACTTCATCCAAAACTGCATGAACTTTGATCACATGGTTTCAATAAAGTCCATGGAGTCGACATGTAGGAGCAAGTCAGACAATTTTTATCCCCATAATGCAACACAAGGCGGTGACCAACGATTGTTTCAAAATTGAAACTTCAACCGGCCCCAATGGTATCAGGGGGGAAATTATTAACAGTTTGGATTGTATCCTATTTTACTATTTGGTACCCTTAAGTTGAATTATTTTTTTATGACCATTTACTTTGATTAATTTATGGTACCTTTATATTATGTTTTGGAGAATGTTCTTTGTCATTTTATATATTTTGTTGTTTGGATTAATTTGGTTGGTCTCCATAGGAGGAGCTACAGCTAAAGAAAAATGCTGAGGTAGAAGCATGGGCACAAGGCAGACCATGGGAAACTCTTATGCATAGGTGCGGACTGGGATCAGAAATCGGCCCTGGCATTAGTAACATCTCATAAATTCGTAAATATCAGCATAGAGAATAATATCAGCATGGAGAATAAGAGCACTTCCTCCCAGTTGCCCACTGCACTGAGGCTAGGAAACACTATCACCACCGATAAATCTACAATAATCGAGAATTTCAACAAGCATTTTGCTACAGCTGGCCATGCTTTCCATCTGGCTACCACTAACCCGGCCACCAACTCTGCACCCTCTGCTGCAACTTGCCCATGCTCCCCCCGCTTCTCCTTCACACAAATTCAGACAGCTGATGTTTTGAAAGCGCTGCAAAATCTGGACCCTTACAAATCAGCTGGGCTAGACAATCTGGACCCTTTCTTTCTAAAACTAGCCGCCGAAATTGTCGCAACCCCTATTACTAGTCTGTTCAACCTCTCTTTCATAACGTCTGAGATCCCCAGAGATTGGAAAGCTGCCGCGGTCATCCCCCTCTTCAAAGGGGGTGACACTCTAGATCCAAACTGCTACAGACCTATATCCATCCTGCCCTGCCTTTCGAAAGTATTTGAAAGCCAAGTTAACAAACAGATCACCGACCATTTCGAATACCACCGTACCTTCTCCGCTATGCAATCCGGTTTCCGAGCTGGTCATGGGTGCACTTCAGCCACGCTCAAGGTCCTAAACGATATTATAACCGCGATTGATAATAGACAGTACTGTGCAGCCGTCTTCATCGACCTGGCCAAGGCTTTCGACTCTGTCAACCACCGCATTCTTATTGGCAGACTAAATAGCCTTGGTTTCTCAAATGACTGCCTCGCCTGGTTCACCAACTACTTCTCAGATAGAGTTCAGTGTGTCAAATCGGAGGGCCTGTTGTCTGGACCTATGGCAGTCTCTATGGGGGTGCCACAGGGTTCAATTCTTGGGCCGACACTTTTCTCCGTGTATATCAATGATGTCGCTCTTGCTGCTGGTGACTCTCAGATCCACCTCTACGCAGACGACACCATTTTGTATACATCTGGCCCTTCATTGGACACTGTGTTAACAAACCTCCAAACGAGCTTCAATGCCATACAACAATCCTTCAGTAGCCTCCAACTGCTCTTAAACACTAGTAAAACTAAATGCATGCTTTTCAATCGAACGCTGCTGGCACCCGCCCACCCGACTAGAATCACCACTCTCGACGGGTCTGACCTAGAGTATGTGGACAACTACAAATACCTAGGTGTCTGGTTAGACTGTAAACTCAACTTCCAGACTCACATAAAGAATCTCCAATCCAAAGTTAAATCTAGAATCGGCTTCCTATTTCGCAACAAAGCCTCCTTCACTCATGCTGCCAAACATGCCCTCGTAAAACTGACTATCCTACCGATCCTTGACTTCGGCGATGTCATTTACAAAATAGCCTCCAACACTCTACTCAGCAAATTGGATGTAGTCTATCACAGTGCCATCCGTTTTGTCTCCAAAGCCCCATACACTACCCACCACTGTGACCTGTACGCTCTTGTTGGCTGGTCCTCACTACATGTTCGTCGTCAAACCCACTGGCTCCAGGCCATCTATAAATCACTGCTAGGCAAATCCCCGCCTTATCTTAGCTCATTGGTCACCATAGCAGCACCCACCCGTAGTCTGCGCTCCAGCAGGTATATCTCACTGGTCATTCCCAAAGCCAACACCTCCTTTGGCCGCCATTCCTTCCAGTTCTCTGCTGCCAATGACTGGAACGAATTGCAAAAATCTCTGAAGCTGGAGACTCTTATCTCCCTCAATAACTTTAAGCATCAGTTGTCAGAGCACCTTACCGATCACTGCACCTGTACACAGCCCATCTGAAATTAGCCCACCCAACTACCTCATATTGTTATTTATTTTGCTCTTTTGCACCCCAGTATCTCTATTTGCACATAATCTCTTGCACATCTAGCATTCCAGTGTTAATACTATTGTAATTATTCTGCACTATAGCCTATTTATTGCCTTACCTCCATAACTTGCTACATTTGCACACACTGTATATATATTTTCTGTTGTATTTTTGACTTTATGTTTTTTACCCCTTATGTAACTCTGTGTTGTTTTTATTGCACTGCTTTGCTTTATCTTGGCCAGGTCGCAGTTGTAAATGAGAACCTGTTCTCAACTGGCTTACCTGGTTAAATAAAGGTGAAATAAAAAAAAATAAAAAAAAATATGACTGAAAGCAATCCACTTGAACACCCCTCCGACTGGTAATTACTAGAGTGAAACTGGTCTATCGTCTCTGAGCACTGACTTCTCCCACATGCTGAACTCTGATGTCACATACTAAGGACATTGCCTTGGTAACAGCATTTTCAGCATTTAAATGCAGCAACAAAACATTATTCATAAAAGACAATCTGTTAATATGGTTTTTACACAATAATTTGTTTACGAGCATGATAGCTGGACTTTTAGTTCATGGTTGACGCAGTTGGTTTGCCATTAGCCAATCGTGTTCTCAGCGAGTTCAAAGAACGTGAACGCCACCAACTCGTTGCTCCCAGTTTTAAAAGTCGTATTTTCCAAGTTTCCCACATGTTATGAACGTAGAATAACACACCAGTCCATTATTTACCTTCCAATTTTTTTCCTTGAGGCCCCAACACCTGACCATTTTTCTTTCTTGAGGCCCCCATTATTAACTGGATAATGATCATTTTGCACACAAAACAATTAGTTAGACAGGCCCACTGGGCAAAAAATGGGCCAGCCCATCTGGCATTTCGGGCAAATGCCAGATGGCCAGTCCGCATCCTGCTCACGCATTAGCCTACTTACAATCCCTCTACTGCTGGGTCTACTGCTGGGTCAACCTTACAATGTCTCCATTACCCCTATTCAATAAAGTATTAATGTACATAGCGTTCCCTCTAGCCACATCAACTAAATTCGTCAACTAAAAAAATGGTGGCTCCAGTAGCCAATACAGTATGTGCAGTACTCAAACATGAAGCTTGGCGTCCCATACCAGCCCAATGGAAACCCCATCCCTTTCTGGCGTAACTTGTTACGCACAGACTTCCGTGACTGGGCCGGGGCGGTCCATAGCCCATCCATAGACGTGGCCGTCGTATGCTGTGCTGCGTTCGCTGGCGCAGTGTCCGGTGTGGAGAGAGAGAGGGCGAAGTTTGCTGTGCCTGCATTGCAGCCTCAGCGCTGCTGGAATCGAACACAACAATGGCGACTCCCAGTTCCAACAGCAACTCAACAACCTCCAGCGGCAACAGCAACATTGCAGGATCCACCTCGCACCACCATCACCCGCAAACACAACACATGACCACCGTCAGCAGCATGCAAGGTTAGAGCAGATGCCCTAAATGTCGATTTTCTACTTGATCAGAGCTATTTAGCTGTTGGAAAACATGACTTGGCTAGCCTAACTACCATTGCCCCGAGGCTAAGCTACATAGCAGAGATTCAGTGTGGCTAACTATATATCCTGCTAAATGTAGTGCCTCGGCCATTTGTTGCAACATTGTAATTTTCTGCGCGATGTATTGTAACAATGTTACAGTCGCTGATATGTAAACGCGCCATCTGAAAAGTGTTACATAGTAGTTACGGACGTTCCACTGCAATTGAGTTTCCATCAATCGATGTTAGCTGCTGCATGCACCACTAAACCCAAGGCCTAGTACCAGATTGAGAAATTGATGTTTCCCCTTTCACAAAACCTACGTATTTACTACTGTATTGTTAGTAACATTAATTATGTAGATAATAACGATTAAATGATTTTGTTTTCTATATATATATATTTTACCTCGGAATCAATGAGGCATAATTGGGCATCGAAATGTTAACTGTCAGTGGTATATTTTGATTGACACCATCGTATTATATGTTGTGATCAGTGTTAGTGCTATCTACTTTGTGTGTATCTGTCTGAAATGTCCAGCTTCAACTCTTTTATTTAAACGTTTCAGAAACCAACACGTGCTGGAGGTGTCAAAACGAAACAGGTACTATTTAAAAATAAATAAAAAATAAAGGATTTCAGTAGGATATTACTAGGTTGATGTGATATTCTGTTGATCATAGTGGAATATGATTCACCATTGTTTTGCTCCCCATTTCCCTTTTGTGTTTGATTTCCTCATTGGTTTCCTATTCTGTAGTACATTGAGTGTTTCCATTAATTGGTAGAGGTTAGAGATTTCCCCACCATTCCATAGCTACTGAACTAAACATATGATTGTATATGAGGCCCAATATCTTTGACAACTATGTGTAGGGTACCCATAAACACACATAAATAACATAACCCTTGAAAGCTAGGGTTGCACAGTCATAGTACATTGATTACTTCCATCCAGGTTATATAGTGACCACACAACAGGAAGATATCTCTCTCTAAATTTCTCTCTCTCTCTCTAAATTTAACTGGCTTAATTCCTAATCACAGGGATAACCAGATTTTCTAAACTATTGGAAAACTCCCAACGTTTTAGAGTAGAAAAGCAAAAAGCCGAAATGTAGTAAAATGTATTTTCTTTACTTTAGGGTTTCAGATAAGCCTGTCTGGAGTGCCCCAAAGTAAGCATTAACGCTCTCGTATCACACCAACCCTTTCTGTCTCTCTGTGGGTGCATCCCAATAGTCTGAAGTGGCTTCCTCTCCTTGTCTCCTTTCCTCCATCTGCAATGACTGGACAGGTAAAAGCAAATACTTGGTTGGTATTGACCATATCTCTTTTACCTAGTATGTGTTGGCAGAGCCGTGAAGGAGAGGAGACAAGGTAGGTGAGGGAGGAGACGAGGAGTTGAAGCCACTCTAGACTATTGAGATACAGCCTGTGTGATTCTCTGCTAGTGGGGCGGTCTGTCCACTGTTCTCTGTTCTGTGTTGACTAATCTAATCCAAGGTGGAGCGTTAGTTTGGGTTAGGACCCATTTACATCTGGGCATAATGGTTAAAGGGACCATTAGTACTGCACCTCTGATTGAGCTCTGTAGGCCACTGTACTGTGGATGTCAAAGAAGACCCCAGGCTCCCATCTCATCCTCAACATGATCATCTAGTGGAATACTTAACAGTTATTCTGTTATATACAGCGCACTCGGAAAGTATTCAGACCCCTTCCCCTTTTTCTACATTTTGTTACGTTACAGCCTTATTCTAAAATGGATACAATTATTTATTTTTCCCCTCAGCAATCTACACACAATACCCCATAATGGCAAAGCCAAAACTGATTTTAGAATGTTTTGCAAATGTATAAAAAGTATTCAGACCCTTTGCTATGAGACTCGAAATTGAGCTCAGGTGCATCCTGTTTCCATTGATCATCCTTGAGATGTTTCGACAACTTGGAGTCCACCTGTGGTAAATTCAATTGATTGGACATGATTTGGAAAGGCACACACCTGTCTATATAAGGTCCCACAGTTGACAGTGCATGTCAGAGCAAAAACCAACCCATGAGGTCGAAGGAATTGTCCGTAGAGCTCCAAGACAGGATTGTGTTGAGGCACCGATCTGGGGAAGGGTACCAAAACATTTATGCAGAATTGAAGGTCCCCAAGAACAGTGGCCTCCATCATTCTTAAATGGAAGAAGTTTGGAACCACCAAGACTCTTCCTAGAGCTGGCCACCCGGCCAAACTGAGCAATCGGGGTAGAAGGGCCTTGGTCAGGGAGGTGACCAAGAACCCGATGGTCAGTCTGACAGAGCTCCAGAGTTCCTCTGCGGAGATGGGAGAACCTTCCAGAAGGACAACCATCTTTACAGCACTCCACCAATCAGGCCTTTATGGTAGAGTGGCCAGACAGAAGCCACTCCTCAGTAAAAAGCACATGACAGCCCACTTGGAGTTTGCCAGAAGGGACCTAAAGAAACAAGATTCTCTGGTCTGATGAAACCAAGATTAAACTCTTTGGCCTGAATGCCAAGCGTCACGTCTGGAGGAAACCTGGCATCATCCCTACGGTTAAGCATGGTGGTGGCAGCATCATACTGTGGGGATGTTTTTCAGCAGCAAGGACTGAGAAACTAATTAGGATCGAGGGAAAGATGAACGGAGCAAAATACAGAGAGATCCTTGATGAAAGCCTGCTCCAGAACGCTCAGGACCTCAGACTGGGGTGAAGGTTCACCTTCCAACAGGACAACGACCCTAAGCACACAGCCAAGACAACGCTGGAGTGGCTTCGGGACATGTCTCTGAATGTCCTTGAGTGACCCAGCCAGAGCACGGACTTGAACCCGATCGAACATCTCTGGAAAGACCTGAAAATAGCTGTGCAGCGACGCTCCCCATCCAACCTGACAGAGCTGGAGAGGATCTGCAGAGAAGAATGGGAGAAACTCCCAAATACAGGTGTGTGAAACTTGTAGCGTCATACCCGAGAAGACTCGAGGCTGTAATTGATGCCAAAGGTGCTTAAACAAAGTACTGATTAAAGGGTCTGAATACTTATGTAAATGTGATATTTCCGTTTTTTTTTAAATTATACATTTGCACAAAATATGCGTTTGTACTTTGTGAGGGGAAAAAAAACGATTTAATCCATTTAAGAATAAGGCTGTAACGTAACAAAATGTGGCAAAAGTCAAGGGGTCTGAATACTTTCCGAATGCGCTGTACAGCCTGATAAAAGACCATGATAGAAAAACAGAAACATTAAGCACTTCTTAAAGAGTCAAAAGATATGTGCTATGCTAGTGCAGAATAGTTGATACCTTGCTGTCTCGTTTGGAAGTCGTATAATGTTTGAGGCTGTTGGTAGGTGTCCTCTTTGACAAGTCTAGTACTTCAGCCACTGCACAATGACAACAAACTATGGGAATGTCTTGAAGGGGTTCCCAATGCATGCAGGTGTGCACTGCTATCAAATCATGCTGGGTTAATGTTGTACTTGTAATTCAATGTTGACACAGGCCGTTGTGTCTGCATTTCCATGGCAATTGGGAACCCGTGTGTTTGTGGGCACATTGCTTGTGTTTATATTGCATCATGTTTGTGTTCTGGCAAAATCCAAGCCTGAAAAGCACTGTCTCTCTCTGAGCATGGGTAATGACACATTGATATAGCTATAATTATTATTTTCCAGTCACTAGTACTTTAATTTACAGAAATTCACACTTCATTTACACTTCATTTACACTGAAACTCAACTTACTCTCAGCGACTTCTCCTGGTTACATGACTTAGTGGGGTTTGTGGCTTACTAGTTTTTATTGAAAGGGTTCTCACTAGCTAGGTTTCCATCCAATTGGTGACAGATTTTCATGTGAATATTCTAAAATCCGCATAAATAAAATATGTGCATTTTCCCCACCAGCGGTGTGTTTCCACCAAATGGATAAATATCAATGTGAGATGCCGTAGTGCACACAAAATGTACTTTTTGCTTAAGTTTTCATGTACCGAATACAAATCTAAAATTCAATGTGTTTCCATCTCTTTTTCAACTCTACCGATTAGTTTTGTCACAAATAGCAAATGTGTTAAATAGCAAATGAGCCTCCTTTGTTCCTGGCAGCATGTGCGCTCTAGACAACAGCTCCCAGATACAGTGCGGTTAGGCTAGTCTACATGATGAGATTATTATGGATAAGGCTGTCAAAAGGCAGTCGATAATAATGTCACCAGAATTAGACCCTCAATATTTATTGGAAAGCAGCATCAAGCTCATCAGCCTGCACTTTCACCACCCTGTTAAGTTCATCATAACTTATTTCATCTGAAGCCTAATAAACTGCATGGTTTCCCGAGTCGAAGTGGAAGGACCACACGCCATATCGTCGCGTGATTCCAAGTTTACTTTGATATGATGGTTTTTATATCAATATTTGCACATAAAGGCATTTCCACCGCCATTTCTCGCATAATTAATTTTACTGACACAAAAACATCCCACCATGTCAAACGAACAAATTATCTGTCGGCATTTATAAAATTATACAGAAACTTCCTGTTTCCATCCCATCTCTCGTGATTAAAAAAATAAAAAATACGGTACGACTTCACTCGCGTGAAAACTGGATGGAAACGTGGTTATTGGGCTCACTTCATGAAACAGTCCATGGGATACTGAAAACGGTTTCCTTATCTGTTCGGTTCCATCCCCATATAATTCTGATTCCATGTCCCATCCACCTGCTCCCTCACCCTAACCAGCATGTGTTGTGTACGAACTGTTTCCTCCTCTCTATCTGCCAGGTAAACGTAAAGCCCTGAAGCTGAACTTCGCCAACCCTCCAGTGAAGCCAGCTACCAGGTTGCCCCTTAACCCCTCACCTTCAACCGCCCCCTCCTTCCAGAACCCACATATGTAAGTGCTGTGGAGAGCGGGTCAGAAAATGCCCACTTACCTTAGTGCTAGTCTGATTGTCAGTAAGAGGGCTGTTTTCAAGGGGTTGTCGAGCCCTGATAGTCCTAGTCCAAGCTTCTAACTTATTGTAGTTAGGTTATGTATTTCTGTTGGCTAAGCTTTATTGTTGTAGATAAAACGTCATCTTCACACAGTCTGTAGGTGCACACGGTAGGGTACTGTCTGTGTGAAGGAAAGGGTTTTAGACAGCTCTGAGAATACAGTAAAATGGCTGTGCAGGATTGGTCAGCATCTTCAGTATGGTCTGCTATCGAGGAAAAAACCAAGACGTTGAGATTGTAAAGGAGGTGTCCTCTAAATGTCTAAATAAGGTTTAGAAATCACTTCCTCGTGTGTATGATGTGCTCCCCTCTCTGCCCCATACACTCTTCTTCATTCTCTCTCTCTCTCTCCTCTATATCCCTTCCTCCTCCTTCTCTATTCCTCTTTTACACTTCCTCCTCTCCCTCCCCTTCCTCCTCTCCCTCCCCTTCCTCCTCTCCCTCCCCTTCCTCCTCTACAGAGAGCGTATGAGGACGCACAGTATCGAGTCGTCGGGGAAGCTGAAGATTTCTACGGAGAATGCCTGTGACTTCACGGCCGAGGACCTGAGGGACCTGGGAGAGATAGGACGCGGGGCCTACGGCTCCGTCAACAAGATGCAGCACAAACCCAGCGGACAGATCATGGCCGTCAAGGTGACCGCACCAGCTGCTCTCATCCTCACCGACTGAGACAGTCCAAGTGAAATACTAACGTTGATATACTGTAGTCTATGCACCTCGTAAATCGGATTGATGTTTATGGGAGACGTGTGACAGTTTGATTAAGAGTGGCACCTCCCAAGTGGCGGTCTAAGGCACTGCATCGCAGCACTTTTGAGGCGTCACTACAGACCCGGGTTCGATCCCGGGCTGTGTCACAACCGGCCGTGACCGGGAGTCCCATAGGGCGGCGCATAATTGGCCCAGCGTCGTCCGGGTTAGGGGAGGGTTTGGCCGGGTGGGGGGGCTTTTCTTGGCTCATCGCGCTCTAGCGACTCCTTGTGGCGGGCCGGGCGCCTGCAGGCTGACCTCGGTCGTCAGTTGAACGGTGTTTCCTCCGATACATTGGTGCACCTGGCTTCCGGGTTAAGCGGGCGGGTGTTAAGGAGCGCGGTTTGGCGGGTCATGTTTCGGAGGACGCATGACTTGACCTTCGCCTCTCCCGAGCCCGTTGGGGAGTTGCAGCGATGAGACAAGATCGTAATTGGATCACAATTTGGATATCACAAAATTGGGGAGAAAAAGGGGGTAAATAGAACAACAAAACAGGTTCACATCTCACAAGTATGAGACCTGGTCAAATATTGTCTTGATGGATGGTAGACGTCTTCATCAGGTGACGACTATAAACTGATCTCTAAGCTGTTGATAGTTTCCTCTATTTCTGCTGAACACATGTCGTCCCCCCCCCCCAGAGGATTCGCTCCACGGTGGAGGAGAAGGAACAGAAGCAGCTGCTGATGGATCTAGACGTGGTGATGAGGAGTAGCGACTGTCTCTACATCGTCCAGTTCTATGGAGCTCTCTTCAGAGAGGTGACACTGTCAAATCACATTTGGATTTGTCACACGCTTCGTAAACAACAGGTGTAGTCTAACAGTGAAATGCTTACTATTTACGGGCCCTTCCCAACAACGCAGAAAAAATTATAGAAAGATAATAACATGAGGAATAAATCCACAATGAGTAACGATAACTTGGCTATATACAGTACATGGGGTACCAGTACCGAGTCGATTGAGGTCGCTATGTACATTTGGGTAGGAATAAAGTGACTAGGCAACAGGATAGATAATCAATCAAATCTTATTTGTCACATGCGCCGAATACAACAGGTGTAGACCTTACAGTGAAATGCTTACTGACAAGCCCTTAACCAACAATGCAGTTTGAAGAATAACAAGTGTTATGTAAAAAATCATTAAAAAGCAGCAGTAAAATAACAGTAGGGAGGCTATATACAGGGGGTACCGGTACAGAGTCAATGTGTAATAACAGTAGGGAGGTTATATACAGGGGGTACCGGTACAGAGTCAATGTGTAATAACAGTAGGGAGGTTATATACAGGGGGTACCGGTACAGAGTCAATGTGTAATAACAGTAGGGAGGTTATATACAGGGGGTACCGGTACAGAGTCAATGTGTAATAACAGTAGGGAGGTTATATACAGGGGGTACCGGTACAGAGTCAATGTGTGATAACAGTAGGGAGGCTATATACAGGGGGTACCGGTACAGAGTCAATGTGTGATAACAGTAGGGAGGCTATATACAGGGGGTACCGGTACAGAGTCAATGTGTAATAACAGTAGGGAGGTTATATACAGGGGGTACCGGTACAGAGTCAATGTGTAATAACAGTAGGGAGGCTATATACAGGGGGTACCGGTACAGAGTCAATGTGTAATAACAGTAGGGAGGCTATATACAGGGGGGTACCGGTACAGAGTCAATGTGCGGGGGCACCGGCTAGTCGAGGTAATTGAGGTAATATGTACATGTGGGTAGAGTTAAAGTGACTATGCATAAATAATTAACAGAGTAGCAGCAGAGTAAAAGAGGGGGATGGGGTGGGGGGGCAGTGCAAATAGTCTGGGTAGCCATGATTAGCTGTTCAGGAGTCTTATGGCTTGGGGGTAGAAGCTGTTAAGAAGCCTTTTGGACCTAGACTTGGCACTCCGGTACTGCTTGCTGTGCGGTAGCAGAGAGAACAGTCTATGACTTGGGTGGTCTTTGGCAATTTTTAGGGCCTTCCTCTGACACCGCCTAGTATATACAGTTGAAGTCGGAAGTTTACTTGCACTTAGGTTGGAGTCATTAAAACTCATTTTTTAACCACTCCACAAATTTCTTGTTAACAAACTATACTTTTGGCAAGTCGGTTAGGACATCTACTTTGTGCATGACGCAAGTAATTTTTCCAATAATTGTTTACAGACAGATTATTTCACTTATAATTCACTGTATCACAATTCCAGTGGGTCAGAAGTTTACATACACTAAGTTGACTGTGCCTTTAAACAGCTTGGAAAATTCCAGAAAATTATGTCATGGCTTTAGAAGCTTCTGATAGGCTAATTGACATCATTTGAGTCAATTGGAGGTGTACCTGTGGATGTATTTCAAGGCCTACCTTCAAACCCAGTGCCTCTTTGCTTGACATCATGGGAAAATAAAAAGAAATCAGCCAAGACCTCAGAAACAAAATTGTAGACCTCCACAAGTCTGGTTCATCCTTGGGAGCAATTTCCCTTTTGTGGGGAAGAACTCATTCTGACTGGCTGGGTCTGGCTCTGGCTCCACAGTGGGTGCGACCCTGCCCAGTCATGTGAAATCCATAGATTAGGGCCCAATTTATTTAATTCAATTGACTGATTTCCTTATATGAACTGTAACTCAGTAAAATCATTGAAATTGTTGCATGTTGCGTTTATACACTACATGACCAAAAGTATGTGGACACCTGCTCGTCGAACATCTCATTCAAAAATCATGGGCATTAATATGGAGTTGGTCCCCCCTTTGCTGCAATAATAGCCTCCACTCTTCTGGGAAGGCTTTCCACTAGATGTTGGAACATTGCTGTGGGGACTTGCTTCCATTCAGCCACAAAAGCATTAGTGAGGTCGGGCACTGATGTTGGGCGATTAGGCCTGGCTCGCAGTTAGCTGTCCAAATCATCCCAAAGGTCTTTGATGGGGTTGAGGTCAGGGCTCTATTTAGGCCAGTCAAGTTCTTTCCATACCTATCTCGACAAACCATTTCTGTATGGACCTCGCTTTGTGCACGGGGGCATTGTCATGCTGAAACAGGAAAGGGCCTTCCTCAAACTGTTGCCACAAAGTTGAAAGCACAGAATTGTCTAGAAATCATTGTATGCTGTAGCGTTAATATTTCCCTTCACTGGAACTATGGGGCCTAGCCCGAACCATGAAAAACAGCCACAGACCATTATTCCTCCTCCACCAAACTTTACAGTTGGCACTATGCATTGGGGCAGGTAGCATTCTCCTGGCATCTGCCAAACCCAGATTAGTCCGTCGGACTGCCAGATGGTGAAGCGTGATTCATCACTCCAGAGAACGCGTTTACACTGCTCCAGAGTCCAATGGCGGCGAGCTTTACACCCCTCCAGGCGATGCTTGGCATTGCGCATGGTGATCTTAGGCTTGTGTGTGGCTACTCGGCCATGGAAACCCATTTCATTAACCTCCTGACGAACAGTTCTTGTGCTGACGTTGATTTCAGAGGCAGTTTGGAACTGTAGTGAGTGTTGCAACCGAGGACAGACGATTTTTACGCGCTTCAGCACTCGGCGGTCCCATTCTGTGAGCTTGTGTGGCCTACCACTTCGCGGCTGAGCCCTTGTTGCTCCTAGACATTTCCACTTCACAATAACAGCACTTACAGTTGATTGGGGGCAGCTCTAGCAGGGCAGAAATTTGACAAACTGACTTGTTGGAAAGGTGGCATCCTATGACGGTGCCACGTTGAAAGTCACTGAGCTCTTCAGTAAGGCCATTCTACTGCCAATGTTTGTCTATGGAGATTGCATGGCGGTGTGCTCGATTTTATGTACCTGTCAGCAACGGGTGTGGCTGAAGTGGCCGATTCCCCTAATTTGAAGGGGTGTCCACATACTTTTGTATATATTGTGTATGTTAGTTCAGTATATATAGTCCAGTTATACAGACTGACTGTATATTATGTATTAGGAGTAGTGACTGTCTTTATATAGTCCAGTTCTACAGACTGACTGTATATTATGTATTAGGAGTAGTGACTGTCTTTATATAGTCCAGTTCTACAGACTGACTGTATATTATGTATTAGGAGTAGTGACTGTCTTTATATGTCCAGTTAACAGACTGACTGTATATTATGTATTAGGAGTAGTGACTGTCTTTATATAGTCCAGTTCTACAGACTGACTGTATATTATGTATTAGGAGTAGTGACTGTCTTTATATAGTCCAGTTCTACAGACTGACTGTATATTATGTATTAGGAGTAGTGACTGTCTTTATATAGTCCAGTTCTACAGACTGACTGTATATTATGTATTAGGAGTAGTGACTGTCTTTATATAGTCCAGTTCTACAGACTGACTGTATATTATGTATTAGGAGTAGTGACTGTCTTTATATAGTCCAGTTCTACAGACTGACTGTATATTATGTATTAGGAGTAGTGACTGTCTTTATATAGTCCAGTTCTACAGACTGACTGTATATTATGTATTAGGAGTAGTGACTGTCTTTATATAGTCCAGTTCTACAGACTGACTGTATATTATGTATTAGGAGTAGTGACTGTCTTTATATAGTCCAGTTCTACAGACTGACTGTATATTATGTATTAGGAGTAGTGACTGTCTTTATATAGTCCAGTTCTACAGACTGACTGTATATTATGTATTAGGAGTAGTGACTGTCTTTATATAGTCCAGTTCTACTGGGTTGTCTTCAGAGAGGTGAGAATAACTCATTAGAGAGGTTCAGTCCTTGGGGCGGTAGTTATTCTCAATGTTTGTTTGGGTGGTGGCTGGATATATTGTTTTGTATAATGAATGATAATAAATAAATGATAATCAATAATGAAATCTCTCTCTTTTCAGGGCGACTGTTGGATATGTATGGAACTAATGTCTACCTCATTCGACAAATTCTACAAATATGTATATTGTTCGTTAGATGACGTCATTCCAGAGGAAATATTAGGCAAAATTACATTAGCAGTGAGTGATTATATTATTTTCTGTGAATATAATCTGTTTCTAACATAATGCAGTTGATGGAGGTCACAGATTGTAAGGAAATTGTTTTGTTTGTTTCTTTGTACAGACCGTTAAAGCACTGAACCACTTAAAAGAAAACTTGAAAATAATTCACAGAGGTAAGTCTTAAGTTGTCAGATAACATCTTTTGGAGTTTGGCCATATTTGTAGAAATGATTCTTCCAGCTATGTTTGGTGTATGAACTCTAAAACGGCTGTATGTTTGTGTGCTCGCAGACATCAAACCTTCCAACATTCTCATGGACCGTAACGGCAACATCAAGCTGTGTGACTTTGGCATCAGCGGCCAGCTGGTGGACTCCATAGCCAAGACCAGAGATGCAGGCTGCAGGCCCTACATGGCAGTAAGTCTGTAAATTTTTTGTGTGTGAAAATCTCACTAAAATGTGAAGCTAGGATTCGGTTCCTGAATTATCCGGTATATCATATTTAAGTTGTGCTGTTGGTTAAGTAGTTTTTCTGTTATTTTCCTGTGTCCCAGCCAGAGAGGATAGACCCCAGTGCTTCCAGACAAGGCTACGACGTCCGATCTGACGTGTGGAGTTTGGGGATCACCCTGGTTATTATTTAATTCATACGTTGATTTGATGCCCTCCAATGGGACCGGAGAAAAACAGCTGTACTATGTTTCCAAACAAATGTTATAACCTGGCTGCACTGTTATTGATAACAATCTGTACACTAATAAATACATAAATACAATAAATACATAACAATAAATACACACAATCTAACTATTTCTAAACCCTTGTTGTTGGTGGTAGTCAATGAGTAATTGCATTTCTCCTTGTCTAATGGCGGTCTGTGTCTCTGTGTGTCCAGTATGAGTTGGCCACCGGGAGATTCCCGTACCCCAAGTGGAATAGCGTGTTTGACCAGCTAACTCAGGTGGTGAAGGGCGAGCCGCCACAGCTCTGCAACTCTGAGGACAGACAGTTCTCCCCCAAGTTCATCAACTTTGTCAATTTATGGTGAGTATCACCTCTGGTGAAAGCAGACTACCCCTCCCTCCAGTGGATATGCTACTGCACGATGACTCTCACCTAGAGGATTCGGCATTGTTTTTTGCTGCCCCCTCCTGGTAGAGTGGTGAAAAGGCATATTTTCTGTTTCTGTCGTCTTGCTAGTTGCTTCTTCTCTTGTTCTACAGCCTCACAAAGGATGAGTCAAAACGGCCCAAGTACAAGGAGCTCCTGGTAAGTTTGTGTGTCTTTCTATGATAGGACTTGATGTTATGCTTGTGGATTTCACTGTGTATTGACTGCTATGTGGGCAACAGTAAAGCTTGACCTAGTTTCTATGTGACTGAGGTAATGTTTGTGGCCCCCAGAAACACCCGTTCATCCTGATGTACGAGGAGAGGTTTGTGGACGTGGCCAGCTACGTGTGTCGCATCCTGGACCAGATCCCAGCCTCCCCCATCTCCCCCATGTATGTGGACTGACGGGGGACACTTTGCACGGCGACACACGCACCGTTGGGGGAAACAGTACACCGCGACACACGAAGCATGACATCTTAGCCCTCAGATGCAGAGTTACTATAGTAACAAGCTGTTTGTTTCCATGTTCCAAAGAACATGACAATTCCATATTCAAAACCAATCGCCCTGTGCAATACGATAATACACAAATACTTGTCACCACCCTGTTCAATGTCAATAAAAACATCTGCATTTTCCTCCCGTCTTCAGACAGCTAAACTTGAAGACATTCAATTGGCTCAACGTATATACAACGTTCATATTTTTTATGTGCTAGGGAAAAAATCGGTTTAGTGTCCATATACAGTGTATACTTGAAAATCGATGTTACCAAATAAACATATTGGAAAGTGCCGCTCATGACGTTATGAAAAGAGTCATCTATTTGGATTGTGGACTGTATTGTATGCAGGCGTTTGTGTTCTCACCTCTACGTCGTCAGAAAATGTACAGATTTATGGAGACAGACTCGTCTGAGCGAGACACTCATATCTCTCAGTATGCTGTGGGCACCTTAACTCATTGTAAATGAATGGGTCTGATGATGCAAAAGTGTCGTTCCCTGAAACACAGATCGATTGTGTAAACGTGGCTTTATTTTCTTAATATGCAATTTTACAGTATGACTCCAAATGTTCTCTGCTAACTGTACAGTAGGATTATATATTATGTATGCATGTGTACATCTCAAATCAGTCTGCTATTATACACCGGTTCTGTTTTCAGCAGTTAGGACATGTTACCATGGACGCACTCGACAACGTCTCCTCCAGCAGTCAAGAGTAAACAGTTCTTCTCAACCTGCCACACGTTGCAAAGTGGATGAAGTTACGGCCAGTCGGTCAAATCTGCATGGCCACCAGCTATTAAACCTCTCACTTGGCAAGACGTCACAAGTTGAACATGTCAGATATACATTGATTGCTTGACTTGTTGCCGGTGCTGCATCTGTCTGTGGGAAAGGAGTGTCTAACCCCCAACCTCTGCCTCAACAGTCATGTTACACTATACATACTGTACAGCTCAGCCAAAAACGTAATGTTCTTCAGTGGCACGGGCCGTTCGCCATTGATACGAGGCTCGCTCCGATGGAATGTTCCGTTTCCCTCGCCAACCCTTAGGCATCATGTAGGGCGCATCTCAATAGCGTACAGGTGAAATCCTCTTGTGCGGAAGAGCGCTCTCTTTCTCGCGCAGAAAGCCGCTCTGGTCAGGTCACCCACATTCAGTGTATAGTAATGTAGCGAAGCAAAACTAAACCCCGTCGTGGAATTACTTAGCTAGTGAACCAAACCGTTGTGTATTGTGGTGTTGAGGAGGGATGACTGTGGTTAAATGACAACCAACCTGGGTTGTGTTTCCCTAAGCACAGTGAACTCCGATAAACTTTCAGATCTAACTCCCCAGGTTACTATATGTGATATCGTTAAGCACTAGAAAATACACAATTGTTTTTGAATGTTTAGGAAATGTAGCTGGCTAACTCAGATTGTGCTTCATGAAATGCCCCCCTTGGAAATGTCAGGGGTCAGGGACAAGTGTTTAGTACAGATATGCAGCTTATTCAGAAGTGGAAATTTACAGAACATTTGGATAGAAATGTACTGCATAGACCTGACCTGATTCCCTGTTATGTGGAGTATGGAATCGGGTCATTTCTATTCATTGCATTTCTATCTGCATCGTTCTAAACTTTGCACACCGCTGAAGAAGCCTATGCTCATATATAAGCTGAGATGTGGAACACATGGTTACATGGTGAATATAATATCTTATGGAGGAGCACATGTTGTATAAATTGCAATTGATTAGAATGTTCATATTAGATAAGATATTAAGGTCAATGAGTATTATATTGTATTTTGATCAAGGGTTAAAAAAACAAATAAAGTTCACATTGAGAAAATGCAAAATGCTGTATTGTGAACCTGGGTCGTTACAAAGGTACAAAACAGAAACAATGATTATTTGTGTTTTAAGTTTATTGCTTTCTCTTCTACAGTAATGCAGTGCTGTGGAAACACTGGTTTACATGGTAAAGCAGTTCAGTGGCCAAGCAACAAGGAAGCTTTTTGTCAGATGTGAAATGTTGATGTAAAAAAATAAATAGAAAAGAAAATCACCCCTCAACATCAGGTGAAGCGGAGCTAATGTATTGGGGCACATGACCTGCCATGGATGTTGGAAATGCCTAATGCAAAGGTGGCAAACCTCAACTGATCTGGGGTGACGTGCGTGGTTGCAACCACAGAAATCCTATACACAAGGGTGCCACAGCTTAAAACAGCGTTTAAGAGAAAATATCCTACTTTTTTGGCCAGAAAAAATATAAATCAAAAGAATGATACTAGTATCAAATCTGACTGGTAGCTAGTCTAAAACAAAGTTAGTGTTTTGAACGTTCTTCTGCATTTCGGTGTCATCACAAAATCTCAGACAATCTCATGGGCGTTGTGGTGGTAAAGCCACATTATTAAAATAACGGAGTGGCTTTTCACTGACCTTTTTCTCAGAGCACTAAATGTCCTGAAGCTTCTGTTGTTTTATTTTCTACTAGTAGAGAACAGGCTACTCTGGCTACTGGGGCTTGTTTAATAAAGTTATATCAAAGCTGTATCAATGTCTGTAAGATTACATTGATAGTAGTCTACATAACAGAACCGAATATAATTACTGTTAAGACAAAAAACACCACCTAATGTTTCTCTCGTGTGGCTAAAACTCAACAATGTGCCAAAATACACAGGTAGGCTCGGATACATTTTGATAAACACCATCCGCTCTAAAATCCGCTCACTGTACATCATTCAAAACTGTAGGCTACATCGAAAACAACGCTGTCTAACTCAAGAAGATCTAATTGCATATCCCCCCAATGAAACTGACTTGAGGTCAAACGGTTGGTATGCAGATGCTGCATGGACGTTGCACCGGTAAAACTTAAAGGGTTATCGTTCACGATTGACAGTGAGGAATGTGAAGAGGAGGAGACCACAAAAAGGTGTGTGTAAAGTAGCAGTAAACAAACAGAACGTGATCCGAACATGAGCAGAAGCTTCGGAACCTTTAGTGCTCTGAAAAAAGGTCAGTGAAAAGTCGGTTTCCGCAACCATGGCCTTAACATTATACCCATAGTTATGTTTACATATTCTAACATCTCAATTTGTATCCTTACAAGAACAGTCCCATTTGTTTAGCTATAGGCCACATCGTACATGCATTGCAGATGGTTAGTTATTTTTGATATATTTACAGTTTTCATGAATACATCTCTGTGTAATGTTTTTCATTCCTGATTCATAATCGTTGTACAGATCCCTACCCCAAACCTCTGCAGCGTAATGGTGGCTTTAGAACCAAGTTTATAAAAAGGTTACGCGTACTTTATGTAACATATTGAACACTGATTATTCTGTGCTAGATTCACAGTATAGTCAAAACTCTGTTTTACATTTTGGTATTCCCAAGTGCTGGTAAGAATGGATATTTACTCTGCATATGCAGTATTTTTATATCACATTGGTCTCCATGGAAAACTGGTAACACTGTTTTTAGAAAATATATTTTGGGAAGAACAGTGCAAGATCAAAACGGTGGCATATGAGTTTTCATGTTAATCAAGAATCTCATTTTATCATAAAGGAATGTCAAATATAAATATACTATATCAATGTATAAATAAAAAAAATGCAAAAAAATAAATAACTAAGAAGTGAGTCTCTCTAAAATATAAATGGGTGAATTTTCCAAAAGGTCAAATACAAAACAATAAATAATGGAGAGAAAAAAAAATATAGAGATGAAATTTAGACAGATTTTCTTGCCATACTTCTGACTATGATGGATCCTTGTGCTAAAAATGTGATATGATTTATCAAAGCTGTGTGATAAAGGTGGTGAACCATGCACTGTGCAGTACCATAGCGTTCCACATTCATGTTGCCTTGAATGATTGTGGATGCTTTGTGTGGCCAGAGTAACAGCTACATTGTTTGGTGTGATGGGATATGGACAGGAAATGCTCAATTTGAAATGCCAAGAGCTTTCCTGTTGTGAAGTGTTTAAGGCACACTAAGTGAAATATTGCTGTCTCTTCCTACAATCCATGCATTTCTGCATCTGAAGACACTTTTATCGAAACTGAGACAAAGGGGTTTTCACGCTGAAGGTACATATTTAGTCTTCATATTATTACAGTGAGGTAAAAAAGTATTTGATCCCCTGCTGATTTTGTACGTTTGCCCACTGACAAAGACATAATCAGTCTATAATTTTAATGGTAGGTTTATTTGAACAGTGAGAGACAGAATAACAACAAAAAAATCCAGAAAAGCGCATGTCATAAATGTTATAAATTGATTTGCATTTTAATGAGGGAAATAAGTATTTGACCCCCTCTCAATCAGAAAGATTTCTGGCTCCCAGGTGTCTTTTATATAGGTAACGAGCTGAGATTAGGAGCACACTCTTAAAGGGAGTGCTCCTAATCTCAGTTTGTTACCTGTATAAAAGACACCTGTCCACAGAAGCAATCAATCAATCAGATTCCAAACTCTCCACCATGGCCAAGACCAAAGAGCTCTCCAAGGATGTCAGGGACAAGATTGTAGACCTACACAAGGCTGGAATGGACTACAAGACCATCGCCAAGCAGCTTGGTGAGAAGGTGACAACAGTTGGTGCGATTATTCGCAAATGGAAGAAACACAAAATAACTGTCAATCTCCCTCGGCCTGGGGCTCCATGCAAGATCTCACCTCGTGGAGTTGCAATGATCATGAGAACGGTGAGGAATCAGCCCAGAACTACACAGGAGGATCTTGTCAATGATCTTAAGGCAGCTGCGACCATAGTCACCAAGAAAACAATTGGTAACACACTATGCCGTGAAGGACTGAAATCCTGCAGCGCCCGCAAGGTCCCCCTGCTCAAGAAAGCACATATACAGGCCCGTCTGAAGTTTTCCAATGAACATCTGAATGATTCAGAAGAGAACTGGGTGAAAGTGTTGTGGTCAGATGAGACCAAAATCGAGCTCTTTGCCATCAACTCAACTTGCCGTGTTTGGAGGAGGAGGAATGCTGCCTATGACCCCAAGAACACCATCCCCACTGTCAAACATGGAGGTTGAAACATTATGCTTTGGGGGTGTTTTTCTGCTAAGGGGACAGGACAACTTCACCGCATCGTCCCTTTGATGCGGTGAAGTTGTCCTGTCCCCTTAGCAGAAAAACACCCCCAAAGCATAATGTTTCAACCTCTATGTTTGACAGTGGGGATGGTGTTCTTGGGGTCATAGGCAGCATTCCTCCACCTCCAAACACGGCGAGTTGAGTTGATGGCAAAGAGCTCGGCCATGTACCGTCAAATCTTGGGTGAGAACCTCCTTCCCTCAGCCAGGGCATTGAAAATGGGTCGTGGATGGGTATTCCAGCATGACAATGACCCAAAACACACGGCCAAGGCAACAAAGGAGTGGCTCAAGAAGAAGCACATTAAGGTCCTGGAGTGGCCTAGCCAGTCTCCAGACCTTAATCCCATAGAAAATCTGTGGAGGGAGCTGAAGGTTCGTGTTGCCAAACGTCAGCCTCGAAACCTTAATGACTTGGAGAAGATCTGAAAAGAGGAGTGGGACAAAATCCCTCCTGAGATGTGTGCAAACCTGGTGGCCAACTACAAGAAACTTCTGACCTCTGTGATTGCCAACAAGGGTTTTGCCACCAAGTACTAAGTCATGTTTTGCAGAGGGGTCAAATACTTATTTCCCTTATTAAAATGCAAATCAATTTATAACATTTTTGACATGCATTTTTCTGGATTCTTTTGTTGTTATTCTGTCTCTCACTGTTCAAATAAACCTACCATAAAAATTATAGACTGATCATGTCTTTGTCAGTGGGCAAACGTACAAAATCAGCAGGGGATCAAATACTTTTTTCCCTCACTGTATATTGTGAATAAATACACTAGTTAAGTGTGAGAAGAAACCTATACCAACACTTGCATGGAATGGCAAACTTTGGCAAATTCTTTCCCTGCAAATACATTCTAGGCTTAAGCAAAGTGTGACAATCTTCTATGCTAGTCAAGGTGCAAAATGTGAGATTTTAAATATTTACATAGAAAATATCAACCGACATACTAAAATGCCACATTTGATTCTGTGGCAGTTTCTAAAGTGTTCTCTCGCACACCACGGACAAATATGCAGACCTCAACTTGTCTCCGTCACCAACCATATCATATTTACAAATGTGGCATTCGATGTCATCCAAATCAGTTTGTAATCTCCTTTTGGTTTCCAGTAATAAAAATAAAGACTCACTGTTCACAAATAATACATTGATTGTCAAAATATGTATCTTCAAGTCTAGGTGTCATATTACTTGCATATATTCTATAGATTTCTTAAGGCAACGTTGGAATATTTTTTTGGCCATAGCGTTCATTGAATGAACATTCATTCTTGACAGATCTATCCAGAGTCATACTGCTTTGATAGTTGTGCGCATCATTGTCCAAGAAGACAAAGATCATTTCAAACAGCACCTGGTGACTGGTTATTGTGTATCCCCCCAAAAAGTTTCATTGTTCGTGAACAACAAACTATATGGCCTTTCTGTGTGATTCTGTTGTTGTATAGCCCTTTGCAGGGCTGTGACCCTGCTTGTGGTTCTTTGGTAAGTTCTCTGATAAATTGTTGCACTTAAAATCCCATTGTACCCAGTGCAAATTTGCCGAGATTTATTCAGCTGGTCTTTGGTTGCTGGTCGGTGCTGTCGTTGGTCGGTATCTAGTCTCTAGCTATTTGTTTTGCTAACTGGGTCATAGTTGCTAGCTAGTCTCCTTCTGTGTCTTTTGGGGAGCTAGCTAGACACTATAGTCTCTTGTTGTGTTTTCTAGGTAGCCAGCTAGTAGCTAGACACTACATTCTCTTGTTGTGTTTTCTAGGTAGCCAGCTAGTAGCTAGACACTACAGTCTCTTGTTGTGTTTTCTAGGTAGCCAGCTAGTAGCTAGATACTACAGTCTCTTGTTGTGTTTTCTAGGTAGCTAGCTAGTAGCTAGACACTACAGTCTCTTGTTGTGTTTTCTAGGTAGCTAGCTAGTAGCCCACCGGTTAAGAGCGTAGGGCCAGTAACCGAAAGGTTGCTGGTTTGAATCCCTGAGCCGACTATGTGAAAAATCTGAGCAAGGCACCTTAACCCTAATTGCTCCTGTAAGTCACTCTGGAAAATAGTGTCTGCTAAATTAATAAAATGTAAAATGTTGTTCTTTTTGTAGGTTGCTAGCCAGATAGTGGCTAGCTGGTCCATAGCTAGTATCTGGTGTTTCACCAGTGCTCTAGATGAAGGTCCATGGCTGTATTCAGGTTGATGTCTGTAACATCCAGGAACTCTGTGTTAAAGATGCTTGACCCAGTGGGCGGGATAGAGCTGAACCCCGTAGCCAAGCTCGGGGGCGTCAGGTCCATCCATTCCATAGTCTCCCACGGTGACTCGCTAAACGTCATGCCGACCGTCCCCTGCACTTCGGCCATAGACGTCACTTTGGCGTTGATGGAGTGGATGGGAGATAGAGGTGTTGGGGTTTCCATCAGGCCCCTGTTGGAGAGCAGTTTGTCCTGGTGGGGGTGTTGGTTCGGGTGGTGCTGGTTCGGGCTGGGGTAGCTCTGTAGTCCAATATCCCCCTCCTCTGATTCCTCTGCGGCCATCTTAAGAAGGGTGACCTCACCCCCTCGGCCTAGGGGGCTTCCCAGCAGGGTCTCCAGGTGGCTGTCTGCAATGTGATTGGCTGTGTGGTCATAATTGAGCTGGGAGGGGGACAGGTGCTCGTAGTGTCTCTGGTGGAACTTTGGGTCGGCGAGGCCGGTGGTTCCGGGGGACACTGTAATGTGAGGCACAACTTTGGTTACAGAGGACCTCTCCCTCTCTTCTCTGGCGTTAGCTGGCATCTCTTGAAGAGAAGAGGAGGGGGGGAGGGGGGGAGTCACAGCACAGAGTGTGATTTAATACCCATGTAAGAGGGAAATCTGGAGTTACTTAACTAAGGGGTGATGGATGGTATGTAGGCAGGCAAACTGAGTAGTACCTTGTGAAGGGGGACTAAATTGCTTGCAGCTACTAAGCCATTACTCATTCGTAACCATAGCAACAACATGCACTGACAGCTATATTCGCTATCCAATTTCTAAATCTAAACATTGTTTACATCACACATATTGAGACTGATTATGAGTCAGTTGACCCACCTCCACTCTCTATGAGCACATCCAGAAGCTCATCCATCTGCTGACTTCTGGTCAGTTGCTAAAAAAGGAATACAAATGTTATTAACAGACTTGTTACATTTGTGCTTTATCATTCTTTAGTACCCGTCAAGAAACAAACAGAAATGTCTGGTTTCGGGACCTGGTGGGGATTTCAACTATTCACGATTAAAGTACCACGTACTGATTGCATAGATATATTTGATTATTGCTGTCTGATAGTATTGCTAGGACTTGGGGATACCCACTTTAACCACACTTGAAAACCACCCAACCTGTATCCATGATCACCCAACTTAGATACCCCCAACTCTAGATAACACAACTCACAACTAGATAACACAGCCCAATCTAGATACAAAGCAACTCTGGGATACACACAACCACAACTCTAGATAACCAACCACAATCTAGACAACAAACCACAACTCTAGATAACACACCAAACTCTAGATAACAACCACATCTAACAACACAACCACAACTCTAGATAACACACACAACTCTACACATACACAAACCACAACTCTACGACAACAGAAGCACAACTCTTGATACACACATACCACAACTCTAACACACAACCACAACTCTAGATAACACAACCACAACTCTACTCAACACTAACCACAACTTAACACACAACCACAACTCTAACAACACAACCACCAACTCTAGTACACAACAACTCTAGAACCACCAACTCTAGATAACACAACCACAACTCTAGAACAACACAACCACAACTCTAGATAACACAACACAACTCTAGATAACACAACCACAACTCTAGCATAACACAACCACAACTCTAGAAAACAACCACAATCAATAACACAACCACAACTCTAGAAACACAACCCAACTCTAAAAACAAACCACAACTCTAGATACAAACACAACCACAAACTATAGATAACACAACCACAACTCTAAAACACAACCACAACTCTAGACAACACACACCACAACTCTAGTAACACAACCACAACTCTAGACAACACAACCACAACTCTACACAACACAACCACAACTCTAAACACAACCAACTAAACCAACCAACTCTAGACAACACAACCACAACTCTACACAACACAACCACAACTCTAGATAACACAACCACAACTCTAGATAACACAACCACAACTCTAGATAACACAACCACAACTCTAGACAACACAACCACAACTCTAGACAACACAACCACAACTCTAGATAACACAACCACAACTCTACAACACAACCACAACTCTAGATAACACAACCACAACTCTACACAACACAACCACAACTCTATCACCAACCACAACTCTAGAAACACAACCCAACTCTAGAACACACCACAACTCTACACACACAACCACAACTCTAGACAACACAACCACAACTCTAGACAACACAACCACAACTCTAGACAACACAACCACAACTCTACACAACACAACCACAACTCTAGACAACACAACCACAACTCTAGACAACACAACCACAACTCTACACAACACAACCACAACTCTAGATAACACAACCACAACTCTAGATCAACACACAACCACAACTCTAGATAACACAACCACAACTCTAGATAACACAACCACAACTCTAGAACAACACACACCACAACCTCTAGATACACACCACACAACACAACACACTACTAACTCTAACCACAACCACAACTCTAACAACACAACCACAACTCTACACAACTCACCACTCTAACACAACCACAACTCTAAACACACCCAATCAGACCACAACCACAACTCTAGATAACACAACCACAACTCTAGACAACACACACAACCACACAACTCTAGAAACACAACCACAACTCTACGACAACCACTCTAAAACCAACCACAACTCTAGACAACACAACCACAACTCTAGATAACACAACCACCAACTCTCAGATAACACACCAACCTCTAACACAACCACACTCTAGATAACACAACCACAACTCTACACCCAACCACACAAACCAACCCAACTCTACATAACACAACCACAACTCTAGATAACACAACCACAACTCTAGAAACAACCACAACCTATACACCCACTCTAGATAACACAACCTCTAGATAACCAACCACAACTCTAGATAACACAACCACACTCTAGATACACAACCACAACTCTAGATAACACAACCACAACTCTAGATAACACAACCACAACTCTACATAACACAACCACAACTCTACACAACACAACCACAACTCTACACAACACAACCACAACTCTACACAACACAACCACAACTCTACATAACATATGAAAAATATATACACTCACTAACTGTAAGTCGCTCTGGATAAGAGCGTCTGCTAAATGACTAAAATGTAAATAACACAACCACAAAGCAGGCAGCAGTCAAACTTGGTCAAGGGTGCAAAGTGTGCAATGGATGAAGCGATGGTTGGATTGAGAGAGAGAGAGAGAGAGAGAGAGAGAGAGAGAGAGAGAGAGAGAGAGAGAGAGAGAGAGAGAGAGAGAGAGAGAGAGAGAGAGAGAGAGAGAGAGAGAGAGAGAGAGAGAGAGAGAGAGAGAGAGAGAGAGAACGCCACAGAGGTTACAACAACGAAACAAAAAGCATTGGCCAGCCATGATCAGGAGCAGAGTTTGGTTTATCATTTAGTTTACCTGCTTGACTGCATCCTCATAGCAAGGGGGCTGTCTAGAGTCAGATGAATCTGAGCTACAGAAGGCGGGGGATGAGACCGTGCACTTTTGGCCAACATGCCGGGGATAGGGCAATATAGGTATCTATATGAAGAAGAAAAAAAAGGTCGAATAAAGTTGTATTACTGATTTGAAAATGAATCCTGATAAAAAAAACAAGATGCTTTAAAAAAGTTCCTGAGAAAATGTGATCGCTAGCTCATAGGATAAAATGGGAGAGATCAGCTGGAAACAGCTTCATCTTTCTCAAAAGATGGAGTTGTGAAGAGTATCATGAACCTCATGATGGAAGTTTAAGAGAGAAGCAACACATGAATGGAAGGCAGAAAATGTGTTAAGTGAACGTGACGGGTGATGTGTGACACACAACCATGTTAATCCGTCACAGACCAAGACCTTCAAACAGAAGAATAGCTCTCACCTTGTGCTGCATATCTGGGTTCTTGGCTTTAAGGTTGACCCTGTGGTTCAGGCTGTTGTCGGCTGAATTGGGGAGCTGAAGGCTTCTCCGGTCAGACAGATAGGAGCAGTTTACAGCCTGACCTTCTTTCTTCTGCTGAATCTGTTAGGAGAGAATACATGACTGTCATGACCACTAAGAATAGAGTCACAACAGACACAATATAAAGGAAGTTTAGCCATTATGTATCGGAAGGCTCATAACTAACGTTCTGCCTAAGGCCTACCTGCATGTTGCGGGGCCTGGTGCTGGACTGGTTGTGGGGATGGCTACACCCGTCTCTGCCCAGCGGCGGTGACATCAGGTAGGGGTTGTTGGGGGAGGAAGGCTGGGGGCTGCTGGAGGTCTTGGCGATGGGTGAGTCTTCAGGAGAGCACAGGGGGCTGAGGAAGGCACACATGCCTGAGGGACTTCCAGAGGAGGGGGTCTGGTCCAGGCGTCGTGGCCCACCAGGGCCTCCCATACTGGGCAGCGAGGCACCACAATGGCCCATCCCCTCCATGCAGCTTCCTGGAGGACTCTTTAGGTGCTTGGGGGAGGAGAAGGGGCAGCTGGAGGAAAGGGACATGGGCTCCTGCTTGACTGTCACCCCAAAGAAGTGCTTCCCCATCAGGGAGGGGGATTGCAGGAGGTGAAGGTGGTGGGGCTGGGACGGAGCCGGGACGCTCTCCTGTGTGGCGCCATGGCAACGCTTCCTCTTGTGCAGCTGCATCTTGAGCTCCTCCACCTGTTGAACAACAGACTGTTAACAGTAGGTCAGCTGTTGAACAACAGACTGTTAACAGTAGGTCAGCTGTTGAACAACAGACTGTTAACAGTAGGTCAGCTGTTGAACAACATACTGTTAACAGTAGGTCAGCTGTTGAACAACAGACTGTTAACAGTAGGTCAGCTAGCTGTTGAACAACAGACTGTTAACATTAGGTCAGCTAGCTGTTGAACAACAGGCTGTTAACAGTAGGTCAGCTGTTGAACAACAGACTGTTAACAGTAGGTCAGCTGTTGAACAACAGGCTGTTAACAGTAGGTCAGCTGTTGAACAACAGACTGTTAACAGTAGGTCAGCTGTTGAACAACAGACTGTTAACAGTAGGTCAGCTAGCTGTTGAACAACAGACTGTTAACAGTAGGTCAGCTGTTGAACAACAGACTGTTAACATTAGGTCAGCTAGCTGTTGAACAACAGGCTGTTAACAGTAGGTCAGCTGTTGAACAACAGACTGTTAACAGTAGGTCAGCTGTTGAACAACAGACTGTTAACAGTAGGTCAGCTGTTGAACAACAGACTGTTAACAGTAGGTCAGCTGTTGAACAACAGACTGTTAACAGTAGGTCAGCTGTTGAACAACAGACTGTTAACAGTAGGTCAGCTGTTGAACAACAGACTGTTAACAGTAGGTCAGCTGTTGAACAACAGACTGTTAACAGTAGGTCAGCTGTTGAACAACAGACTGTTAACAGTAGGTCAGCTAGCTGTTGAACAACAGACTGTTAACAGTAGGTCAGCTGTTGAACAACAGACTGTTAACAGTAGGTCAGCTGTTGAACAACAGACTGTTAACAGTAGGTCAGCTGTTGAACAACAGACTGTTAACAGTAGGTCAGCTAGCTGTTGAACAACAGACTGTTAACAGTAGGTCAGCTTAGCCTTGAATTGCCCTTTAGGGACAACATAGCTATATTGATTTGAACAGTGTGGTTCCCCACCTGTCTCTGTTCCTGGTGCAGCTTCCACGTCAGCTCCTCAATCACTTTCTGTTTTTCCACCAACATCTTATCCTTCTCCCGCTCCATCCCTCCACCCTCCCCTCCCTGCAGTCCTATCCCACTCAGACCCCCTCCCCCCAGGCCTTCCTCAGCGCTGAGCTGGCCCGGGGATGGCTGGACGCAAAACAGTGGAGAGGAGGACATGGGCATGCCGCTGAAGCTGTCTGTGAGCGAGCCGCTGAGGGAGAGGTCTGAGGATGTGGGGGAGATGGGTGGGGTGGAGGAAGTGCTGGGGTAGTGGCAGTACCCGCCCTGGGAGAGGGTGCTGGAGGGGGACTGGTAGGAGGACAGGGACCCCGTGGGGGTGACAGGGAAGGTGGCCGTGGAGATGTCATTGGAGCCTGAATGGGAGGGGCTTGGGGTGGGGTCCTTAAAGGGGCGGAGTCTCTCGATGAGGGCCATCTTGGTGCCTGAGACTGGCATGCCCCGGATACGCAGCTGCTGTCTGAGCTCTGACACCTGTTGGATGGAGGGAGAGAGAGAGAGAGAGAGGGAAAGTGAGAGAGAGAGAGGGAAAGTGAGAGAGAGAGAGAGAGAGAGAGAGAGAGAGAGGAGAGAGAGAGGAGAGAGAGAGAGAGAGAGAGAGAGAGAAAAAACTGATGCTTGCATTTTGAAAATCTTATAGTTACAGTATGTGAGTTCTCTTTCCAACTCGTACTAAGGAATATTTCCCTCACTCTACGGAGAGACAGTACCTACCTTCAGGTCATCCAGGTTAGGTGGCAGAGGAGCAGGTTTGACTGGTGAGACGTTGGTTTGACCGGAGTATGTGGTCTTCAATGAAGACAAGGAGCTACCGTTGACCGTGTTAGTAGGGACACTGGAGCTACACACCGTCAGCTGCTCACTGGATTGTCTACAGATATGGGAACAGGAGATTTCTGGTAGATAAACACCACAAAAGACAACAATATTATGCTATATTTATAGAAATGGTGTAAATTGAAGGCCAGATCTGAGACATGGGGTTCGGGTTAGACCACTCCCTATTCGGGGTACTCACTTCTGGGCTTGGGCCGGCTGGTGCAGAGGCTGGTAGTTGAAGCTATGCTGGCGTTGCTGTGTGTGTTGGGCATGCTGGGAGTGTTTCTGCTGGCTGAGGATCTGCAGCTGCAGGAAGAGCTGTTGTTGCTGCAGGAGCCTGGTATAGGCTGAGTCCATGGGAGGGGGGGACTTCTCAGCCTTCTGGTCCGGAGGGATGTACTGGTGGTATTTCAGCTTCTTCACCTTGGGCTTCACGTCTTTGGGCTTTTTGTGGTGGTTCTTGTCTGGCGTCTTGGACTGTAGAATGAAATGGGAGAAATAGTGAGGACATACTATTAAATACAATACAAGTTGATGTTCTCTCATTGGATGCACCGTCTTGACTATAAAGAGGTCCATGCTATGACAGTGAAGTGTCTGTTCCTACGTTGACTACGGCAGGGACCGGTGGGGTTGCAGACTGCCTATCGTTAGCCACAGACAAGCCATCTCCCTTGCTCTGATCAGACGGGTCTCTGCTCTGACACCTCTGGAACACAAACACAGACAGGGAGTCAGTAGAAAGACGTTAAATGTAGAAAATGTCAACTACATTCACTGGGTGGCCAATCTGAAAACAACAAGATGAATTCAAAGACAACCCCAAATAAATTAATTGATAATTGAAAAAATGAAAACAATAGTTGACATGTTGATATTTAAAAATAGGAACTGGGTACTAAGTCCAAGCTGATTTTCGGTAAACACTTAAAATCAGCAAACGGTTTATGGCAGAAGCTTCTAGTGACTGTTGGGAATGATGTCATCATCTCTGTCTACACAGTGAGAGCGAGGAGAGTGGTGTGGAATGCAGGGAGTCACAGATGATAAACCACAGGAAGCAGTAGCCAGTGCCACACTGTGTCTGTGTGAGACAGACTAACTGGCGTGGAGGAATGTGAAACGTGCCAAACACCAGTCACACACGTTCCAACGGTCACTAGAGAATCCTGGGTAGGATGCTGTGATTCTCCCAACCACCACAGGAGGGCAGACTTAACCTAGGTCTCTGCTTGAAATGACTCACTACTACACATAACTGACTGGAGTATGCCTATGAAGGCATGGAGGAGAGTGTATCTTTGGTGCACCTATTGTTCATAGTGTGTACTCATGGAGGATAGTTTATGTTATGATACATTATCAAAGGGAGGAAGAGGAGGAGAGGGGTAGGAAGAAGAGGGAAAAGGAGGAGGAATATTACCTGTCTAGGGCCAGTGAGGGCTGGTGACGAGGAGGAGGACGGGGTGCTGCCCATGGCTTCAGAAAAGGGGCATGCGGACCCCTGGGACTCGTCACTGTGGGGTTGCTCTGGAGACAGACTGTCACTGTGGGGTTGCTCTGGAGACAGACTGTCCCTGCTGCTGTCCTCCTCAAACGCATACGAGTTCTCCTGCTTAGGAAACTTCCCATGATTTACTGGAGAGAGGGAGAGAGGAGAGAGAGACAGAAAGAAGGGAGAGAGGGAGAGAGAAGAGAGAGAAGAGAGAGAGAGGGGAGAGAGGGAGGGAGGGGGTGATGAAGAGAGAGAATAGAGAGAAGGGGGAGAGGGAGGAGAGAGGGAGGAGAGAGGGAGGGGTGATGAGAAGAGAGAGATGAGAGAGAGAGAGGGGGAAAGAGGGAGGAGAGAGGGAGGGGGTGATGAGAAGTTGATGTGGTTCACTACAGAGATAACCACGCAGGAGGCAGTTTAATCACACAGAGACAGAGGACTGAAACCTGACACACAGTGAGATAACGGCAAAGAGGGCTTAGAATTAAAGGATTTTAAAACATGAACAAGTCTGTTCATACATGTATCTTTAAATATTTCCAGAGGTTAAAACAAAACAAAACCCACATTGTAGGGTGGTATGTTAGTGGAGATATAGCCTTTGTGTGAATGTACAATGTGTTCTAGTCTGTGTCCTCCCTACGTGCCACAACACAGTCCCTATCCGCTCTATTGTTTAACGTCAGTATTCACACACTGCTCTTCTTCACTGTCACCTAGTCCAACACTTAGCCCAGAGGTGCTACTCTGCAGTGGCAGAGACTGACATGGCCACGTCACAGTGAACACAGCCCTGATTGGCTGAAGTGATAGTGAACAGAGAGCCTTGATTGGTTTAGCTGAGCGAGACTGTGCTATCTGGAGGAGCAGAGCCGGAGAGGGGAGGAGGGTGGTAATGTGTGTGTGTGTCTCGTTTAGTATGAGAACATGTGACCTGCCAAGACTCAACCCTGGTTTCAATCAAACCATCAGCCCTGCTCTGTGTCACCCTCTGGTCCTACACACATGCCCTTGTGCACACACCTTGGTGTCATGTCCTGTTGGCTGGATCTCTCTCTCTCTCTCCCTCTCTCCCTCTCTCTCTCTCACTCTCTCACTCTCTCTGCCTCTCTCTCTCTGCCTCTCTCTCTCTCTTCCTCTCTCACTCTCTCTGCCTCTCTCTCTCTCTTCCTCTCTCACTCTCTCTCTCTCTCCCTCTCTCTCTCTCAGCCTCTCCCTCTCTCTCTCTCTCCCTCTCTCTCTCTCACTCTCTCTGCCTCTCTCTCTCTTTCTCTCTCACTCTCTCTGCCTCTCTCTCTCTCTTCCTCTCTCTCTCTCTCACTAATTTTGTTTATTCTGATTTATTGGATGTTCTGGTCATGAGGCAGTGTGTTAGTAGAACAGGTTTGTGAGCTCAGCCCCAGGATGAGGGGACTATTTTCTTTGCTCAGCTCTTGGCATTGCTGGGCTTGGTAATGATATGAGAGGGGGTCACTGTATTTGAGATGTTTCCAAAACTGAATTGCTCTTTATTTTGTTTTTATTATTAGTGGATATTTTATTATTAGTGGATATTTTATTATTAGTGGATATTTTATTATTAGTGGATATTGGCCTAATTCTGCTTGCATGCAATCTTACAGAACTCTGCATTCAGGTTTGTAATGGGTGTTTGTCCCATTGGGCGAAATCTTGTTTTGCAAGTGGACCCCACACCTCATTGCCAAGTGCCATCGGTTCAATAACAGATTCAATTAGTCTCAGTTCTCTCTCTTTCTCTGTTCAGGAAGTAGGGTTGTCTACTTTAGTACCAGTCAGGGACAGAACAAGTTACAACTGGGCTATTATCAAATAAAATAACATTTTATTTGTCAGATGCTTGGTGAAGCAGTGAAGGTGCTTCCCAATAATACAGAGAGAAAGAAAATAGAGAAATAATAGAAAAGTAAAATACGTAATAATAAAAGTATGAATAAATATACTATGAGTAACGATAACTTGGCTATATCAAATCAAATTGTATTCATCACATGCACCGAATATAACCGTGAAATGCTTACTTACGAGCCCTTAACCAACAATGCAGAGTTTTTAAAAAGTAAGTATATACACCAGTAGATGTGCCAGGCCTACCACCGTCGTGTTGTCGGCAAACTTAATGATGGTGTTGGAGTTGTGTTTGGCCACGCAGTCGTGGGTGATCAGGGAGTACAGGAGGGGACTAAGCACGCACCCCTGAGGGCCCCCCGTGTTGAGGCTCAGCCTGGCAGAGGTGTTGTTGCCTACCCTCACCACCTGGGAAGTCCTGGATCCCGTTGACCTGGGACGTCTTCAGTCCCAGGTTCATTAGCTTAGTGATGAGCTTGGTCACTGTGGGGACGACGTCGTGGATGCCCTTATTAATGAAGCCAGTGACTGATGTGGTAAACTCCTCAATGCCATCGGATGAGTCCCGGAACATATTCCAGTCTGTGCTAGCGAAACAGTCCTGTAGCTTAGCATCCGCTTCATCTGACCACTTCCATATTGAGCGCGTCACTGGTACTTCCTGTTTAAATTCTTTGCTTGTAAGCAGGAATCAGGAGGATAGAGTTATGGTCAGATTTGCCAAATGGAGGGTGAGGGAGAGCTTTGTATGGGTCTCTGTGTTTGGAGTAAAGGTCATCTAGAGTTTTTTCGCCTCTAGTTGCACAGGTGACATGCTGGTAGAAATGAGGTAAAACGGATTTCAATTTTCCTAGTTTTTTCCTGTTTGCTTATGTCCCTATGCAGCTCATTGAGTGTCTTAGTGCATCGGTTTGTGGTAAATACGAAAAATATGGATGAAAACGCTCTTGGTAAATAGTATGGTCTACAGCCTGTGAGGTATTCTCACTCAGTAACTATTAGTATTGCTGTGTATGTTCTTGTATTGATGTTAGAATCTCTATCAGCAGACCTCAACTGTTTTGAAGTATCAGAGATCTAATATTTTCAAAGATGATAAACAAAATGGAAGAGGTCATCGGCACATTACCGGACAGCTGAACAACAGCCTTCTGCAATCAGCTACCTTCGTAGGTGACTCACTGGAGCCATGTAAATCAGACAGAGTCAAAACAGAGACACGGGGGAGGGACACCCACACACACACAGAAAGACAGACAAACACACACATGCCCTTCTCCTCTGGACCCAAATACAGCTGCTGTTTGTCTCTATAAAGCTAGTCCCTGTTCGTAAGGAGGTAGAGTAAACCTTGGCGCTCCAGCCTTGTGTTGACCGCAATATGTTTACTGAAGAGAGAGAGGAGGAGAACATAAAACCAGAGTATACTGAAACCTTGGCTGGACAGATATAGAGAGGAAAAGAAAAGGAAAGGAAAGCCTCTCACTCTAGGAGCTCAGATGCAATAATTTAATATCTTACTAACCACCGTTTCCACAGACAAGCTGTCTTCATCAGGGTATAATGACAAACACTGCGGGTCACTAGTTTATATAATGTCAAAGGACACACGCAGGTGTCTGTAATCATGGCCGGGTGTGGCCTAATAGCATTGGTTAATTCACAGATAAAAACAACATACAAAAAACATGGGTAGCATATGATCATAGATACTTGGCTACATAGGCCCACAAACATTTACAATGAATAGCAAAATCACAAGAATGGCTTCAAATCAAAGTCTAAGTTGAGACCGAAGGGAGCAAGGGTCTTTAAATTAAAGATCCAGGCAGCCTCTTGTTTTAAAAATAAATTGTCGAGGTCACCCCCTCTCCTAGAGAGGGTGACCTGTTCGATGCCGATATAACGTAGGGAAGAAATCGAGTGGTTCGCTTCCAAAAAGTGGGCAGCGACTGGGTATGTCGAGTTTTTGCACCTAATGGTGCTACGATGCTCCGATATTCGTACTTTTAATTTGCGCTTTGTTTTACCCACATCATTTTTACCACAAGGACAAGTTATAAGATAAATAACTGCCTTAGTGGAGCACGTAATAACACCTTTAATTGGGATCGGTTTCCCTGTTTGGGGGTGTTTGAAGGATCTACATTTGTAAGTGCCATTGCATTGAGCGCAGCCATTACACTTTACACAATTTCCATCCGGTAGAGGCGCAAATAGATTTGAAGCCATTCTTGTGATTTTGCTATTCATTGTAAATGTTTGTGGGCCTATGTAGCCAAGTATCTATGATCATATGCTACCCATGTTTTTTGTATGTTGTTTTTATCTGTGAATTAACCAATGCTATTAGGCCACACCCGGCCATGATTACAGACACCTGCGTGTGTCCTTTGACATTTTATAAACTAGTGACCCGCAGTGTTTGTCATTATACCCTGATGAAGACAGCTTGTCTGTGGAAACGTTGGTTATTAGGATATTCAATTATTGCATCTGAGCTCCTAGAGTGTGGGTCTTTCCTTTTCAAGTGTTTTACGCCGTCAGCCAACACCTCGCCTAAAGAGGTGTGCGTTTCTTTCACCTTTATATAGAGAGGAGGACTAACATATTTGGATGTAAGAGAAACATTTGAATATGTCCCAATCGCATACTTTGGGTTAAGGGATCTTTCGTTGTTTGCTGAAGGTTTTTTGTCCGGCTAGTATACAAAATAGTATGCTTTAATAGTATTGCTATGGTTGCCACATAACTTCCACTAAAACTGCATACTATTTAATACATGCTCGTGGTTGTGATTCACACTAAACTTAAAAGGTTGTCTACTTTTAGTCAGGGTCCATCGGATAGTATTTCACTGCAGCTGTATAGCCTCATTTCCAGTCCACTGAAAAGTTAAAACACACCATTTTCAAACTCAAAAACAAACTCCAAGCAAAGTCGCACATTTACCTGTGAAAACTCACACACAGGTTCATGCGAGTCACACACGTCAAGATGCAGGCAGATAGGTGTTACTCAGTGATACATGTGATGGCGGCTGCCTGTCTGAAGGCAGCAGTCTAGGGGAATGATATTATTGTGCACCAGCTCCATGGGGCCAGGTCTCAGGGCCAGTTTGTCATTGAGGTCGTCTGCCAGACAGGCTCTCTTCAGCCTCAGCTGAGCCTCCACGGAAGAAACGTCCCCCGCCCGGTCTACATGTACACAGCAAGCAAAACCAACTTAACTCCCTGGACTATTAGCTCCCTGGACTATTAGCTCCCTGGACTATTAGCTCCCTGGACTATTAGCTCCCTGGACTATAAGCTCCCTGGACTATAAGCTCCCTGGACTATTAGCTCCCTGGACTATTAGCTCCCTGGACTATTAGCTCCCTGGACTATTAACTCCCTGGACTATTAGCTCCCTGGACTATTAGCTCCCTGGACTATTAGCTCCCTGGACTATTAGCTCCCTGGACTATTAACTCCCTGGACTATTAACTCCCTGGACTATTAGCTCCCTGGACTATTAGCTCCCTGGACTATTAACTATTTTGTATAGGAGTTGATTCAAGCCAGTTGGGCTCGCTCCTCATTTGAATCTCCACTGATGACTTATAAGTAGTGACGTTACGTTTGATACTGGAGCTACGAGGTATGCTAAGCAGCTAACTTCGAAGCAGTGTTCCAATGTGCATATCACTTTATCAAAAGTACGTCATCAATGACGTCCGAAGCTTTGTTTGATCACGTGCTTGTTTCAAAACGCGAGATCCCACTGATTACGCTATGGTTCCAGTGCTTTCTTGGATTCCAAGCTGTTTTCAAACACCAACCTCTACTGGACACCATACTTCCAAATATACACTGAACAAAAATATAAACGCAACATGTAAAGTGTTGGTCCCATGTGCTGAAATAAAAGATCCCAGAAACTTTCAATATGCACAAAAAGCTAATTTCTCTCAAATTTTGTGTACAGATTTCTTTACATCCCTGTTAGTGAGCATTTTTCGTTTGCCAAGATAATCCATCCACCTGACAGGTGTGGCATATCAACAAGCTGATTCAACAGCATGGTCATTACACAGGTTCACCTTAACAATAAAAGGCCACTCTAAAATGTGCACTTTTGTCACACAACACAATGCCACAGATGTCTCAAGTTTTGAGGGAGCATGTAATTGGCCTGCTGACTGCAGGAATGTCCACCAGAGCTGTTGCCAGATAATTTAAAGTTAATTTATCTACCATAAGCCGCCGACAACGTCGTTTTCGAGAATTTGGCAGTACGTCCAACTGGCCTCACAACCGCAGACCACATGCATGGCGTTTTGTGGGCGAGCAGTTTGCTGATGTCAACTTTGTGAACAGAGAGCCCCATGGTGGCGGTGGGGTTATGGTATGGGTAGGCATAAGCTATGGCCAATGAATACAATTGCATTTTATCGATGGCAATTTGAATGTACAGAGATACCATGACGAGATCCTGAGGCCCATTGTCGTGCCATTCATCCACCGCCATCACCTCATGTTTCAGCATGATAATGCACAGCCCCATGTCACAAGGATCTGTACAAAATTCCTGGAAGCTGAAAATGTCCCAGTCCTTTCATGGCCTGCATACTCACCAGACATGTCACCCATTCAGCATGTTTGGGATGCTCTGGATCGACGTGTACGACAGCGTGTTCTATTTCCCGCCAATATCCAGCAACTTCGCACAGCCATTGAAGAGGAGTGGGACAATATTCCTCAGACCACAATCAACAACCTGATCAACTCTATGCGAAGGAGATGTGTCGCGCTGCATGAGGCAATTTTTTTTTTTTTTTAAGGTATCTATGACCATGCATATCTGTATTCCCAGTCATGTGAAATACATAGTTTAGGGCCTGATGAATTTATTTGAATTGACTGATTTCTTTATATGAACTGTAACTCAGTAAAAATCTTTCAAATTGTTGCATGTTGCGTTTATATTTTTGTTCAGTATTTTTTACAAAAAGTTTCACCTGACTGGTTGCTTAGCAGGTAGAGTAGGGGACTATGGAACATTCTGGAATGTGAGGGTATGAGGTTGAATCCCGTTGTAGGTAGACTATTTTGAAAATAGTTTGATGTGAAACCACACTTTCTGAATTGTTGTTGAAATCATTTGTTTTATTTAGTATAGTATAAGCTTCTTAAATAAGCATCCTAAATAATGCCATAGAATCAGGTTTAGAACAATAGTCAACTTGACGGTAAAAAGGGAAGCATGATGTGAATCTGGCTACTAAAGCCAACGACCTAGCGCTGCGCCACAGAGTTTTTATAAAATCAGTAGAGGGAAAAAAAAAAAGGAATATCTGATAATTACACGTTGCTATTACTGACCAGCAGATGTCACTAATGTGTATTGTGAACGGATAATGAAGCTCCGAGTCATGAGCCGTTTTTTGGCACAATTTGGTGAAAGCGCTGAAGCCTTCAGAAAGCCTCGGTTTCCCATCACTATTTATAAGGTTCCTGGTTCAAGCCCTGTTCCAAGCAGTGATAGTGATAATTAAAATGTAGGGGGGGGGGGGGGGGGGGGGCTCAATCGAATATTTGGGGACGTGGTTTTCTCACAGCTCTTTTTGTGTAACCGTGAGTGAGAGTGTCATTCCAGTTTATCAATGACATATTATAAATAACCATGGGCAGTGACGGTGTATTGTGAAAGTCTCATGTTTGGCCTTGTGTCAATTGTGAACAGTTGACTAAATCAGTCAGTGGTTCTCAATTCTCTCCTCAGGGACCCTCAGCTGTTCCAGAAGTAGCTCACTTGATTCAACTTGTTATTTAACACAATGATAACACCTATGGAAGTTTAACAATATAATATGGCTGACCAGAATAAAAAAACCCTGTATGGTTCTTCAAAAAGATCTACAAAGAACCTTTCAGATTGAGAAAAGTTATTTATGGAGCCATTCTCCATAAAAGTTTTATAAAAAAACAAAACATGTTCTATATAGCCCCAAAAAGGGTTGTAACCAAAGCGGAACTCTTTTTGGTGCTATAAATAACTTTTTTTTAATGGTTCTTTATAGAACCTTCAAAAAAGGGTTCCACCCTTATATGGTACTATTTAGAAGCATCATTTTTTTTTATGTGTAGGCAGACAGACTCCCTCCACTGGATACTTTTTTGTTGTTGTTGAGCTAATTAAAAGGGGGTACTGTGACATGGGTAAGACTGCCTTATGCACACACACTATAGAAATAATCCTGGGTTAGGTTGCTTCTCTTAGGATGGGTTAACTGCTGATGTGCTGCAGCCTGAGCTAGCTGGATTAATCCACCGAGAGAAATAGTGACAGTACTTATTTGGTCAAACCTTTAACCCTTTACACTCCTACCCGTATACGGGTTAAAAAATGGCAGATTTGGGCACCGATAAACGCCTAAATTGGAACGAAGTGGCTGTACAGTAACATGCTATACCATGACGTCAGAGCTCAGCGGCTGTACAGTAACATGCTATACATGACGTCAGAGCTCAGTGGCTGGACAGTAACATGCTATTCATGACGTCAGAGCTCAGTGGCTGGACAGTAACATGCTATTCATGACGTCAGAGCTCAGTGGCTGGACAGTAACATGCTATACCATGACGTCAGAGCTCAGTGGCTGTACAGTAACATGCTATTCATGACGTCAGAGCTCTGGCTCTGTGCTTCACAGTGCTGTATGGGTTTTGACTGACAACCATTCTGAAGAAGTTGCCCCCATCCCTCCTGCCAATTGGTCAACTTTTGCAAATGTTTTGTTGTCTGGGTGAGGGTAATGCTGTAAATTAAGAGGACTGTGTATTTTGAAAGATGAGACGTTGAGGATTATAATAAATACCACTCATACAAGCAAGCCAAACACCTGTGTGTTCAAATGTGCACTTCACATTTCCATACCATAAAACTCATGTCATATAGTGTCAACATTTATAATCACTATGTTTGATATACAGTTACAAGATGACGTCATACCCTTCGTTGTTCTGAACAGAATGTTTGTCTATTTTGAAGAAAATTTGCACGCACCTGAATGCACTCATGACTTCTGTCTATGTGCATCAAAATTCTGATCGGTTTCCCTGAATTGCATTGTAAAAGCCCAACACTGTAATATCATATTTTATAACTTAGCAACTCATGTTGGCAATAGAACAGGCTTTCAAATGATGCCCACCTGACCCATATTGTGATTGATAATGGACCGTTTTTGGATTGCATAAACAACAGGAATTGTGTGATGGCTGGGATGCAGGGTTGTGTTCCACTTTTTTTTTTTAACTACAAGTGTGCAAAGCTAGGAGAGCTCAAAATAGCGCATTATAGTTGAAGACACTTCTTTTAATCATAAAAGAGGGGTTGGGTTAAATGCAGAAGACACATTTCGGTTGAATGCATTCAGTTGTGCAACTGATTATCCCCTTTCCCTTAAAAGTGCATTGAAATGACTAAGGAACTGTGCACACTTTGGAGAGGTGTGTGGCCACATGGAGACAGCAGATAGTCCTCTCACTCAAACCCTTGTAAATGTTTTGTCTTATGTTGCACCTACCCCACATTTTCTAGGAATATTCTTATCATGTTACTGAATGTATCCAGAGTATTTTCAGATGTTTTTATCAACAAATGCGGCGAAAAGCACAGTAAATGTAAAATTCACATAAAATCAACAGTGAGTGTAATGTTTGGATTCAGTCTTGTGCCAAGTGAACTGTTGTGTCCTCTCCTTTGGTCTAATCATTTCCCCATAATCTTGAATCCCTTTCAATTGCTACCATGGTTATGCATTTCATATTTCTTCTATAAGAAACATTTCAATTTAGCCCTATACATACAGGCCAATTCCCACGAGTTTAACGGGGTAATCGGAGGCTGAAATCTGGACTATGTGATGGGAAACAATGTCAAATGAATGGAATGATATTAAGAATATTTAATTGGCTCCTTCTAAGAACTTTTGCTGTCTAATTAAGAATTGATGGAACATTGAACAACCACAGTTATACGCTTTCATCTGCCAAAGAACAGTCTTAATTTTGTAGAGACTACAAATTATAGCTACATATACAGACGTCGGATCTTAATTTGACCCCTTTCGTAGCAGGAGGAAACTAATCCTGCAGCAGGAGGATTTGAATATATGAAGACATAGTTAGAATCGCCACCAGGGGACAGCTAGAAGCGGTGTTTGTATACGATACAGTACCGTACCTACATTGTAGCCTACCTTATATAGTCTATGTGCAGGCTACAGCGCATCTCGTGTGACTACTTACGTGGATTATAATAAATTGCATATTTGTAGGGGGTAGTTATATTTTTTGTTACGGAAAATATTTTTTTTTAAATCATTTGTTTGATTATGTTAAAGGCAAGCAATATAGGCAGAATACATTATTTTGGTTGCCTCGGTGCGTATGTGGTCTTACGGTTACAGCCACCGACCCCATCACACGTATGCCAGAGTCGACATGGGTTCAAATCCGGCCCTTTGACTCATGGATGAATGCCTATTTTGTTAATGCCGCATTGTTACAGGGTTAAAAGAGAAACAACTCAAAAGGTTAACAGTTTAGGAATGAATTCCGAGTGCTTAAGGTTAGGGCTACGGTTTGGGGAAGACTTCAAACGAAATAATTAAAAACAACGCGCCTATGTATCATCAGTATTCATAGTATTCTTAGTGCTAGAGCGTTGTGAACTGCCGTATTGCAGTGGTCTAAGCAGCATGCTCTGGCTCCGAGACTCATGAGTGCTGTGTGATCTAGCGACCAGCCTGAGCTTACATTAAAGCCCACAAGTCCTTAAGAGTCTATTGACTCGTGCGTCAATCTAAGTAACATAATTAAAAATTATCAAAAATCAAAATCTGTTAGTTTAAACTAGTTATTTTTTTTGCATGGGCTGCGTCTCAATCCACTGCATCCGCCTATGTCATGGCATTTGTGCTTCATTTGAAAAAGTCCTCCCTTGATCGAAGCTGGCTTTCATTACTTCCTCATTATGCTTAGAGGAAGGAAAGCTAATAGATGTCAAAGACGTATTGTCGGTATTACAGATACCCTCCTGATTCTGGAGTGTCAAGTGTCACGGGACTCGTCTGAAGGTAAATGGTACCGGTATAAAAAAAAAAACAAAAAAAAAAGAGTTAAATATGTGTCCAAAAAACGTAAATATTTCCTGAGCTTTCTAGTATCTCCTCGACATAGGAAAGATACTTCAAAACCTTATCCCTTATGATTTATTTGTTGACTGTCTGTTTTGCCGTTTATGAATGTGTTATTCAATGCATCTCTATGGGCTTTAGTAGTAAAGGCCAAATTCTATATTTTATCAAATCATTTTTTAAATATATGTTTTGTATACCTACAGGGTTCTAAAGTTCCAAATCAAATAGATAAATGATCCATGGTATGACCATCTTAAAACAATTCCATAGGTCAGCTTAGTAGAAGTAAACTGAATAGATAATTTATACACTAAAGAAAAGTGTCTCAGCTCAACTAAATCGTCTTTGGATAGGCTTATTATGGGTTTTCACACCTTTCTTTATGTGACAATGGATAGACTAACGGGTAGGCTACAGAATGTAATGGCATATAATCAAATAACAAAGGGCCTATTGCAACCATTGATGGCACTAGATTATCGCCAGCTGATGTCTCATCAAACCATTAATATGAACTAAATTCTGATCAGCTGATATCAATTGCAGCTATTATTGGTCACCTCATTACCGCTCCCTAAAAGATGACGTCAGTCCCGCTTGCGACCAAAGTCTTTCAAGATACAGTATGTTCGCCCTCTGGTTGGTATTGTCACAGGAACAATGTAGTCCTTTTTTGAACAAGGGCGATTTATCTATTCGACAAGCATTCAGTACAATATAAATAATGTATTTTCCTCGTTTACCACGGCAAATCTATTGTGGTAATTTACCCAACACTTTGTATGAATGGACACTAACGTTGGTGTAGCATACTGACTGTTGTTATTTTATTATTTATGTTATCCAAAAGTGTCTGGTATGGTCACTTCTTAACGAGATCGGGGGTAAAATATCCATAGTTAATAAATTAAGTCAATCGGGGGGATTGAGTTATTTGTGCCAGAAGGGAACCCATGCTGAAAAGGTAGGCCTATATGTGCATGCTGAAGGCAGTGGACCCAACCACTAGACCACCCCAGGCCACGATTTAACTACATGTTGTGCTTAGGATACACTTATAATATAATAATATAATAAATAATATGACACTTGACACTTGTATGTAGTAGCCTAGTGGAGACCAATATCTACCTTGTGTTATTAAGCGATATATAAAACGACGGTTGTTGATGTGTACGGCCTGTAGCGGTTGAGCGAGCGGGAGAGAGAATATTATTTTAGATAGCAAGCGCTGATCCCAATGACTCGACTTCCTCCGCATGGAGAGAAACAGAACTGCTCATTTTCAGGGACTCGTGAGGCTCATGATGCAGCAGGAAAATTCTATGCGACAAAAGAGTAATCAAGTTATGATCCGACATCTGGCTACCATCAAATATAACAACTACTGCACTACTTTAGGAGATAATGACCTTCATGAGTGAATATCCCAATACATTCCTAAAAAGACAAAAAAAGGAAAAAAAGAGAGGATGGGAGTAAGGAAGGAAGGATGTGTGTGTGGCCCCTTCCTCCTCCGCCAACCACACGTCAGAGTTAAGAGGCAGTGTGTGTGTGTGTGTGTGTGTGTGTGTGTGTGTGTGTGTGACCAGTGGTAAGAGTGAATGCGTGCGTGGACACTTCCTCAGCCAGTCACACACCAGAGAGCCCTGAGAGGCCGAAGCAGCACCCTGAGTCTAACAAACACCAGATGCTCCTGGGTAATATATATACACACCCCAGGCCATGTCCATTTCACACGCACACACGCACGCACGCACGCGCACACACAAGCTCAAGCGCACAAAGTTGTGCACACAATACTGATAATGGTATTCCTTTCAAAATGATTGACTAACAATACTAGTCAAAAGGAGCCATTTTCACTTAATAAAATCGCACAGAATGGCAAATAACATCGCACATTGTCTCTCTGTCACAGGTTTGTCCCCTGTCCTGTGAAGGATAATACAGTGTGTGTGTGGGTGCGTGCGTGCGTGCGTGTGTAACCAGTGGTAAGTGTGCGGAGGAACAGAATCCAGAGGCCCGGCATGGCCTATCAGTTCCTGGGAGTCTGCCGGAGATAAAGCAAGCAGCAAGGGCAAACGTGATTGGTTGACAGGGCAGATACTCTTTTAGAAATGTTTTTCCAATTGGACGTTTATCTGGTGATTGTAGGCGAGAGGTCGGCAGTACACATGAAGGGTTTTGGAAGATTTTGTAATCTATTAACACACACACACACACACACACACACACACACACACACACACACACACACACACACACACACACACACACACACACAGTGGCAGTGCTAGCCTGCTAGGCCTCTGGATTGCATTCCCCCTGCACACACCATTTAAAAAAAATAAATACCCAGGCAAGTGCACTCACACAGAATTCAACTCTGGCCTCTATAGTGTTCTATCACAGACATTAGCCAGTTTGTAATATACTTTTAGGAGCATTAAATGCAGACGAAATATGTCCATTTCATGACTCCAGTTCATATTATGGGGTTAGAGGTATAGATCATAGATCGGCTGTATCATATTATGGGGTTAGAGGTATAGATCATAGATCATAGATCAGCTGTATCATATTGTGGGGTTAGAGGTATAGATCATAGATCATAGATCAGCTGTATCATATTATGGGGTTAGAGGTATAGATCATAGATCATAGATCAGCTGTATCATATTATGGGGTAAGAGGTATAGATCATAGATCAGCTGTATCATATTATGGGGTTAGAGGTATAGATCATAGATCATAGATCAGCTGTATCATATTATGGGGTAAGAGGTATAGATCATAGATCAGCTGTATCATATTATGGGGTAAGAGGTATAGATCATAGATCATAGATCAGCTGTATCATATTATGGGGTTAGAGGTATAGATCATAGATCATAGATCAGCTGTATCATATTATGGGGTTAGAGGTATAGATCATAGATCAGCTGTATCATATTATGGGGTTAGAGGTATAGATCATAGATCTAGATCGGCTGTATCATATTATGGGGGTTTTAGAGGTTAATAGATCATAGATCAGCTGTATCATATTATGGGGTTAGAGGTATGATCATAAGATCGGCTGTATCATATTATGGGGGTTTAGAGGTATAGATCATGATCAGCTGTATCATATTATGGGGTTTATAGGGTCATAGATCATAGATCAGGCTTGTATCATATTATGGGGTTAGAGGTATAGATCATAGATCATAGATCAGCTGTATCATATTATGGGGTTAGAGGTATAGATCATAGATCATAGATCAGCTGTATCATATTATGGGGTTAGAGGTATAGATCATAGATCATAGATCAGCTGTATCATATTATGGGGTTAGAGGATAGATCATAGATCATAGATCAGCTGTTATCATATTATGGGGTTAGAGGTATAGATCATAGATCAGCTGTATCATATTATGGGGTTAGAGGTATAGATCATAGATCAGCTGTATCATATTATGGGGTTAGAGGTATAGATCATAGATCAGCTGTATCATATTATGGGGTTAGAGGTATAGATCATAGATCATCTGTATCATTATGGGGTTAGAGTATAGATCATAGATCAGCTGTATCATATTATGGGGTTAGAGGTATAGATCATAGATCAGCTGTATCATATTATGGGGTTAGAGGTATAGATTATAGATCAGCTGTATCATATTATGGGGTTAGAGGTATAGATCATAGATCATAGATCAGCTGTATCATATTATGGGGTTAGAGGTATAGATCATAGATCAGCTGTATCATATTATGGGGTTAGAGGTATAGATTATAGATCAGCTGTATCATATTATGGGGTTAGAGGTATAGATCATAGATCAGCTGTTTCATATTATGGGGTTAGAGGTATAGATCATAGATCAGCTGTTTCATATTATGGGGTTAGAGGTATAGATCATAGATCAGCTGTATCATATTATGGGGTTAGAGGTATAGATCATAGATCGGCTGTATCATATTATGGGGTTAGAGGTATAGATCATAGATCAGCTGTATCATATTATGGGGTTAGAGGTATATATATATATTTTTTATTTCACCTTTATTTAACCAGGTAAGCCAGTTGAGAACAGGTTCTCATTTACAACTGCGACCTGGATAGATCATAGATTATCTTTAACATAGTGTTATGGGGTTGAGGGGTCTCTGGTTACACAGTGTTAAGGACTAGGTTGTGTAATCATGAGGTAAGTGCGTCGGCTCGTAGAAGTGAGGTCATGTAGCGTGTCATGTTTCAGCGCAGTTGTCCAATGTTGCAAGTTCAATCTAGCTCTCTCTCTTTCTCTCTCTCTCTAGTAATGCAGTACATGGTGCCCCACATACTTATGAGACACACTTGTCACGTTGGTGGCTGAGAGGTGTGTGTGTGTACGTACACTTGAACATGTCTGTGTGTGTAAAAGAGTGTTACTCACGAGGCATGATACCCTGGTCTGCAAGCTGCTTTCCAGTCCTCCTCTGCTGGAGTCTGAACTGCAGAACTACAGGGAGAGAGATAGAGGAGGGAGGGAGACAGAGAGACGAGGGAGGGAGAGATACAGGAGGTAGGGAGACCGATAGATGAGGGAGGGAGAGATACAGGAGGTAGGGAGACCGATAGATGAGGGAGGGAGAGATACAGGAGGGTGGAGACAGAGAGATGAGGGAGGGAGGGAGAGATACAGGAGGGAGGGAGACAGAGAGATGAGGGAGGGAGAGATACAGGAGGTAGGGAGACCGATAGATGAGGGAGGGAGAGATACAGGAGGGTGGAGACAGAGAGATGAGGGAGGGAGGGAGAGATACAGGAGGGAGGGAGACAGAGAGATGAGGGAGGGAGACAGAGAGATGAGGGAGGGAGACAGAGAGATGAGGGAGGGAGGCAGAGAGATGAGGGAGGGCAGGAAAGTGTGAGGGAAGGAGATACAGAGGGGTTGAGAGACTGAGTATTCTGATTTCAGCAGAGAAAGTATTACTATGGTTGTGTGACGGTGAGAGAATGGGGTTTGACAGATCATGAACCAAAATCAATGTTTGAAAGTTCTCAAAGTTCTAATGCTACGGTAACATCCTCAAAACAGCAGCAGCATACCACCCTGCATCCCACTGCTGGCTTGCCTCTGAAGCTAAGCAAGTTTGGTCCTGGTCGGTCCTTGAATGGGAGACCAGATGCTGCTGGAAGTGGTGCTGGAGGGCCTGTAGGAGGCACCCTTTCCGCCTTTCGGATGGGATGTTAAACGGGTGTCTTGACTCTCTGTGGTCACTAAAGATCCCATGGCACTTTTCGTAAGGGTGTTAAACCCGGTGCCCTGGTTAAATTCCCATACCATCATGGCCATCTAATCATCCCCAGCATCCAATTGGCTCATTCATCCCTCTCCCCCTGTAACTATTCCCCAGGTCATTTCTGTAAATGAGAATGCATTCTCAGTCAACATACTCTGTTAAAATCAAAAACAAGCTACATGCCAATCTCTCTGTGTGCAGAGAAGAGTTGAACAGACACACAGAGTAAAACACGGTGCTGTGGGCTGACAAATCTTTCTGTGAGCAGGATGTAGGGAATGATAAACACAGCTCCTGGCCTTTAAACAGATCTGCTGTGTGGTCTGGGAGGGTGTGTGTCAGTAATCCCCCCTTAACCTCTATCCAAAGCCCCTTGTGTGTGCGTGGGGGGGGGGGTCTCTGGCTGATCATCCAGTATTATGATCAGCCAGGTCACCAGTGATTTCAAGTCAGTACTCAACGTCCATCCATGTCGGGGGGACGACATGGAAACTGGCCACTAGGGGGCAACAGTGAGAGCTGTTACCTTCCAAGTAGGTTTTGCTAGGGCATTGAGGACGGGGGATGGTGGACGGCCGTAAGCATCTGCCGCTGATTCCAAAGTTAGCATGTTTCGAATCCAGCGATAGAAAGTTGTTTTTGAGATTTTTGTTTTAAGCGTATCTCAAACCTTAACCCTTACCTTAGCCATTCGGAGTTAATGCCTAACCTTAAAATTTCGGAGATAATGCCGAAACTTAACCTTAAACAAATATGATGTTTGCAACAACTTCGAAATGTGACTTTGGATGAACGCCTAATTCTGACGTGAGACTGTGAGAGCTGGTTGATGTGATGATTGTGTCTGTTTCTCTTTGGCTTTATCACTCTCAGATGTTCTGTGTTTGTAGTGGACCGCTGAATGGACAGAGCTGCTATGTAGTTTCAGGGCTCTGTTTCATCAATACGTCACGGGAGCATGTTTGAATAATAACTGTCAACACTGACCCCGAGCGATAATAATAATAATAATAATAATATGCCATTTAGCAGACGCTTTTATCCAAAGCGACTTACAGTCATGTGTGCATACATTTTTACGTATGGGTGGTCCCGGGGATCGAACCCACTACCCTGGCGTTACAAGCGCTATGCTCTACCAATTGAGCTACAGAGGACCATCTGTTGGCTTTATCTCCCCCTCCTCTCAGGCCATCTACCACTGTTACATAATTACATAATTCTCTAAACATCTGCTTGAGTTTACAGTTTGGCAGCAGCAAAGCCATTCACTCTGACTGGACACTGGGACTAAACATATCATAGAGCTAACTATTTTTCAGTATAGTAATCCTTCGAATCACTTTGAATCTCTCTGTCCTCTATTCTCCTCTCTGAGAATGGATCAATCTTTCATGACCAGCCAGG